GAGTAAATAGTACGTCACAACTGGTACAAACACCAACTACAAAGGATGCTTGTCTGGATCTTGTCATAACAAACTATGTTGATCTTTTGACCAACATTCAAGTAGGGGAGCATTTGGGAAATAGTGATCACAATATGATTTTTTTTAAAATAAACTCAAAAAAGCAAAAGCATGTAGGGTATACTAAAACATATAATGTTAAAAAAAGCCGATTTCAATAAGATAGGGCAGATCTACAACATATTGACTGGCATAAACTCCTCAGTGAAAAAAGTACTGAGGATAAATGGAAACTCTCCAAACAAATATTAGAAAGGTACATTTCTCAGTATGTACTATTGGGTAATAAATATAAAAGAAACAAATTAAAACCAATGTGGCTTAGTAGAGAAGTAAAACAAGAGATTAAAAATAAGAAAAGGGCATTTAAAGCATTTAAATCGGACAAATCAGATGAATCTTATAAAAGATATAAGGAAGCAAATAATGCTTGCAAAAAGGCAATTAGAGTGGCTAAACTAGAAAATGAGAAACTGATAACCAAAGAATGCTAAACCAACCCCAAAAATGAAAGTTTAGGTACACTGGATAGAGAGATGGGTATGTTAGTTAATGAAGACCAGGAAAAGGCAGACATTTTAAACAACTATTTTTCTTCAGTATATAGTAATGAAGATCCTATGGCAAGAGATATGCAAATGATTGCTGCAAAAAACTTGCAGGTAACTTGTGATTGGATGACTCGAGACAAGGTGCTACAGCAGTTAAAGAAAATTAATGTACATAAAGCTCCGGGGCCTGACGGTATTCACCCACAAGTACTTAAGGAGCTAAGTGGGGAAATAAGTGTACCTCTGTATTTAATCTTTTGTTTCAGATATTGTACCGGCGGATAAGAAGAAGACAGATGCCATTCCTATATTTTAAAAGGGTTCAAATCAGTACAGTGATTTCAGCTGATCACTACACACCCCGGCCAGCCGAGAAGGCGATTGGCGTTTGGAATTTGACATCAGCCAAACAGAGGAGGATCTTCAGGTTTAAATTCCGGATTTGTACAGGAAACTAGCATCCTGATCGAAAAAGCCGTATAGGTGAAAGTGCTGTGTGTGAGAGTGCTGGGAGAGAGAGTGATGGGTGAGAGAGTGCTGTGTGCGAGTGCTGTGTGTGATGGGTGTGAGAGTGCTGTGTGTGTGAGTGCTATGAGAGAGTGCTGTGTGTGAGAGAGTGCTGTGAGAGAGAGCTGTGTGTGTGAGAGTGCTGTGTGTGTGAGAGTGCTGTGTGTGATGGGTGTGAGAGTGATGTGTGTGAGAGTGCTGTGTGTGATGGGTGTGAGAGTGCTGTGTGTGAGACTGCTGTGTGTGATGGGTGTGAGTGCTGTGTGTGAGAGCTGTGTATGATCGGGAGAGAGCCGTGATAAATGTTAGAATGGATTGTGTGTGTAGGGGGCAAACCAAAAAAAAAAAAAACAGGCATTAAATCCCCCCCTCCCTTCTTACCTTTAGCCTGGGAGGGGGGGACCGGCACGCTGGCACCTGGGACTGGGAGGCGGTGTTCCCTGGTGGTCCTCATGGGTGAGTGAACTCTAGCCTGTAAGGTGGCCATGGATAGCGCCGGCCCTGCATAGACCGGCAAGGGAGATCCTGGGACCTCCCCTGCCGGCCTCGGCCCATGGCCACCGCGGCCCACCGGGCATTTGCCCAGTGTGCCCGATGGCCAGTCCGGGCCTGTATATAGGGGTAAGTCTGCCTCTTCTAGCGCTCCACTGAGAGACACCTTTAGTGGTTTGTTACACCTGGGTTATCAGTTTTTGTATTCAAATTCCTTGCCTGGAAATTATAGACCTGTGAGCGGGAAAATATTTAAAGGGTTATTAAGGGATAATATTCAGGAATTCATTGGGAAGAACTTTGTTATTTGCAATGATCAGCATGGTTTTATGAAACATAGGTCATGTCAAACTAACCTAATTGCATTCTATGAAGAAGTAAGTAGAAATATAGGTCAGGGTGTTGCAGTGGATGTGATCTACTTGGATTTTGCCAAGGAATTTGATATGGTTCCTCACAATAGCTTAGTCTTTAAACTAAAAGAATTTGGTCTAGAGGAATACTCTTGTTCTTGGGTAGAACATTGGCTTAAGGATAGAGTACAACAAGCTGTCATTAATGGTAAATTTTCAGGAGGTAAGTGGTGTCCCTCAGGGTTCTGTTTTGGGACCGCTTGAATTTAACATATTTATAAATGATCTTGAAATAGGCATTAAAGGCCATGTTTCAGTGTTTGCAGATGACAAAAAACTTTGTAAAGTAATAATGTGTGAGCAGGATATTGCTTTGCTGCAGAGGGATTTGGATAGCTTGGGGGACTGGGCACTAAAATGGCAGATTAAATGTAATGTAGAGAAATGCTAAGTTATGCACTCTGGGTCAAGAATGCACAAGCAACTTACACCCTAAATGGTAGTGAATTAGGGATAACCACACACGAGAAGGCTTTGGGCCAGTAAGGTTTTGTCATCTATAAATAGGGGCATAAATTCGAAAATTATAAAAATATAATTTTGCCTCTTTATAAATCGCTGGTAAGACGACACCTTGAATATGCATTGCGATTTTGGGCACCTGTTCTAAACAAGGATATCATGGCACTAGAAAAAGTGCAGAGACGAGCTACAAAATTGATAAAAGGAATGGAGCATTTTAGTTATGAAGAAAGGTTAAAAAATTAAAATCTCTTGAGTTGGGAAAAACGGCTCCTCAGAGGGGATATGGTAACATTATACAAATATTCGGGGCCAGTACAAACCATTATCTGGAAATCTATTCATAAACAGGGCTATACATAGGACACGAGGTCACGCATTAAGGCTGGAAGAAAGAAGATTTCATCTAAGACAAAGAAAAGGTTTTTTTACAGTAAGAGCAATAACGATATAGAATTCTCTGCCTGAAGAGGTGATATTATCAGAGTCCATACAGATGTTTAAAATGCAATTGGATAAATACTTGCAAAAACAACATACAGGGATATACTTTCTAATTAGTGGGGTAACAGCTGCTTGATCCAAAGAGATATCTTACTGATATTTTGGGGTCAAGAAGGAATTTTTTCCTAATTTGTTGCAAAATTGGAAGCGCTTCAGACTGGGTTTTTTGCCTTCTTTTGGATCAACAGAATAAAAACATTTGTGAGAAAGGATGAACTTGATGGACCCAAGTCTCTTTTAATCTATGTAACTATGTATGTCATTAGCAGTACTTGATCGGTACATTTTCCCACCATTTAATTCACATATCAAGTGAGAAAAAGTAACCATGAGAGTGTAAAAAGAGTGAAAGCAAAAAAAAAAAAAGGAAAAAAAAAAAATCTTTCTTTATATATTTGTATACTATATATATATATAATTAATATATAAAATATATATATTTTTCCGATCATCTCTTTTTTGGGGGCCATGGGCAGAGCTGAGAATACCAAATAAAACTAACATGTTTGGCTATCATTCTAGTTTGTTTGTTTAATTAATAGCGTAAATGTCCATATGACACTTCATAGCTATGGATTTCGCCCAACCAGCAGATTGGCCTAAATTTGGACGAATTGCAATTCTGCAGAAAACAAATGCACAAGTCTAGTGCATATCTGGATGTAGACCCGAGATGCTTAACCAGTTTGTCGAAATGGGAGATTTTCTTTTTAGTTTGTATACTACATTTTATATGATATATCTCCCAACAATCTAAAGGGTAGACTCTAGATGGGGCTGGCAGGCACCGCGGGGGCGTCACCAGTTACACAACCGACATCAGTAGTGATGCCCATGATGGGAGGGCCCACCTGTTAACAGGCTCCGTGGTCCATACCCAGCCTTCAGGACCTTGCAGGGCATGCTGCTGCAGTGCTCCCTGCATGGTTGTAGGGCTCACGCTGTGCTGTCCTGGGTCAGTTCCCTGGTGTCCTTGAATGCGGGACAGTGGGACAGGACCCCGAAAGTGGGACTATTGTGAGGCCTAACTTGATGTTCGTTACAGATTACATATATCTAGCCACAAAATTTTGAAGTGCCAAATGCATTCCATCAGTGATCCAGAGCAGTGCTTCCTGATCTAGTCCTTCAGGCACACCAACATTGTCAGTAACACTACTGCAACAGAATTCGGAAATACCTAAACTCTGTACTGCCACACAGTACCATACCCAATGTATAATCCAAGAATTAATTTACTTGTTTCTCCAGCAGTCCAGTGTTGAAATTTAGAAGCATAGTGTTCTGCTTCCATAATGTCAATCTTGCACTGCTCACAGCGGTTATGTCAACTGTTATGGCCATCATGATGTGTTAAAATTATTCAAAACCTTTATTACATAAAAAAAACCATTAATATTCAGAAAGTGTTGGTGACATGAACAAGAGACAGATAATATTGTAAGCAGAGATATTCTAAAACATCAACCATGCCAGTTCATTGGATATTTTTATGGATTTACTATGTTTTTTTGTGGGACACTTCCCAGAGGCAATGTCACACAGTCATGCTGTAGTGAGATATATGTACTTATACTTTGCATTATTGATTAGCCATGATATCAGTTCAATAACCCACCACCCTCCCACAACATAACCTGCAGGCACTGCCAACAACGGTCTAGCAGATACAAATTCAGCCATCCCTGAGATATACATAAGAACTGTGGATTTGTCTATATAAAACATGGGTGTTTTTCATTATGTTAAGGATTAAGGTGTGAAAACAAATTCAATAATTCAGAATGCATTGGGGTGTTCATCATATGAAATATTAATTAATACAAACAAATATTTTATTTTAAGAAATATAAATCGCTGGTTTTGTTCATTTCATAGGTTCTCTCCTGAGCTTCCATGCAATCGACACGGACATTCTGGAGATGTTTCAAAATAATCTGCTTAAGCCAAGTTAGATGCTATGCTTTTATTCATAATTTCTGTATAAAGAGGTAAAAATGTGTAAGAGTGACTGACACTTTAGACTGTGCTGAACATGTTTCTATTCTCTTTACAAATAAATACAAAATTCAATTGAGTAAAAAAAAAAATTTAATATTACAGGCTTTTTAAATAGCTAATATCCAGCCAATCACATTGACACAAAATTGCAATTAATTTACCGTACAAATAAATTAAAACTTTAAATATTACCTTTTCTTTCAGTGCAAGATATACATTTACGTAACCACTTTTAAAAATGTCTCCAATTGGTTAGAGTCTAAAATAAAAAAAATATTATAAAAACACTTAACATTATGTTGTTAGTAACTAGTACTGTCGAGTTTGCATTATAATTTTTTTATGACATGTATTGAGTACGTACATGTATGTGTGGAAGGGTTTGTGTGTATACACATATACACACGTGTTTTAATGGAGGGCTATAAGTAGACCATTATATAAAAATTATTTGAGAGAATACAAGTGAAAATGAGTACCTATAACCAGACCGGTATCTTTGAGGTTTATTCACTAAACAAGGAATTGTGGTGAATTAAATTGCAAAAATAAAATAAGAATACAATTTTTAAACTCATTTGTTTTTGCCAAAATGTAGTAATTCATTTCAGCCCACCATTTAGTGTGCATAAACCCCTAGAGTGACAAAGACTAAACTTGGCACTACCGATGTTTAAAGACTAAATTTTTCATGATTCTCCTAAATCGTTGGCTCAGGTTAGCAATCACTTTCCAAGGCTTTAGCTCAACAACATACTCTTGAAAGCACTGTGCTAGCACACACACATGTTTATATAAAGATAGTGTGATTACAGTCTTTACAAATGCCCCTCAAGAAAGACGATGCCAGAATACTTTCTTAGTAGCATTATAATGGAACACTTTCGTCATCCTGACTTCTTGCATCTGCTGATTATATTCTAAGGAATGATGTAGTCATGCTGAACTAGCAAAGCCTACTTCCATTGACCTATGTTTATAGCTTTTCACATACATTTGAGATTTTCATTGGTACAATATCTTACTTTTGGACTGCCTGTAGCATTGCAATGAACACAATCCTAGAATTGCTTTGCCATTAACCCAATCAGTTCTAGACTATAACAATCACCCCATTGAAGGGTACCTGTGTATTTGGCTAGGTTGCACATGGAACTCCACACCAAGAAGCACCTTTGGACTATTTTCTCTCTCATACACAATCTATCATTGTAACAAACACCTGTCCACGAAACAGCTGAACAAGTACCTGTCCCCAAAATGGAAGATCTAGATATAAAATAGTTGTAACTCCTACACAGTTCATAGTTTATAGAAGTAAACGCTTGCAGTCTGCACTTTAATCTCTTGGTCATGATTTAATTTCCTAACAAGTGTGCAAAAGTTGAAATCCAAATCAACTAAACAAAGTATGTTTCAATGTGGCCAGTTACGCCTTGTTTACACAGATACAAATCATTTTTTGATAATGGGCACAACATAATAATATATTCTGCAATACAGTATATAGAATTCTAGTGTTGCAAAACTGAAAAATCAAGGCAACATCCAAAAACGAATGCTTTCTACATTGGACCCCCGCAGCGTGTGAGTGCTACATATGACATGATATGCTCCCAGGAAAACAATGATAGTCTTGCAGTCCCCCACAAAATACACAGTGAATTGCTTTAAGTAATGATATTTTTTCCAGACATGTTTGTATATGTAAATGATGTTACAGGTTTTTGTGCTAAAACTTGGCTTAAGAAGGCAGTTTATAAATAGCATATTTATGAAAAAGTTCTATTTGGCTGTGTTGGAATTTAAAAATTTTTTCAACTTTGTATCATGTAATAGCCAGTCTTTGGCAAAAGGCCATTTCTCAATAGCTAACAGTCATGGCACATGAGTGTGAGGATAATAGTGTTGATAGCTCCTGAAAGATGAAATTGCCAGGAACTGAAGTATGGCAGCAAAGCGATGACAGTACAGAGGAGAGACAGCTTAAGGTAAGTTTACTTCCTTATCTGCTTCTCTCCCAGCCATTTCCACTCAAGGAGACCATTCAAACACCCTACCAGAATCTCCATTTTTACTTGATGTTTTCAGCACTAGGTTTAGCAATACAGGGCTGGTAATAAATGTTATCATTATGCAAAAATGGTAGGATGGAGTCCAGGATCACAGCATTTGAGCACATAGAAAGTTAACTAGAAACAACAATTCTGAGTAAAGTTCTAAAAGTCAAGCAATCAAATAATATTCCACTGGTTTCCATAGCAACTGCACCACTTTAGAGATCCTAAAATGACGTTTAGCCTAGGCCTGTTTAGCTAAAACAGTCTGGTGTTTTTAAACCGCATGCTCTCTTAATCACATTGGCATTGCACAAGCATGTCAAAACCTGTTTTACTGAAATAAATACTTATTTATCACCGTTTGAGGAAGGAATACAAACCCTCAGGTAGGAAATCAAACAGAAGAATGCAAAGTGAGTCTTATGTTGTCTGCACACACAACAGCTGTTCTTACACTTCCATAGATACCGGATACTGCAAGCAAGATGAAGTTCTCATGGCTCAAAGCTTAGTGACCCACACTAAAAACATTCAAAACTGTGTCCTAAACCTTTAAACACCAGGAGGAATCTGGTTGTAAAAATAAAAGGGCACAATTTGCATTTACATCATCCAGAACCTACAATTTTAACAATCCCTTACAGATTCACTAGACCCAAACAACTGATCGAACTTGGTTCCCGAACGCACTGTAGACAGACTCCGTCCAGTTCAATGTTAAGGGTTTGAAAAGATTAAAGATTTGGCTGAGCTGCTGCTGCTGTATTAAGCAGAAATGCAGAATTATTTTGCAGTTTATCCATGGAATTTACATATCCCACACACATCTAGAACTGCCACCGTGGTTTTGTTCTCGCCTGAATACTACAAGACGAACTGTCTGAAACTCTGATTGCGCTCTATGTGAAACTGCAGCAGCAGGCAAGTCAGGCTGAGAAATAAAGAGATAAAGTGAAATTTTCTCTTTAAAAAAAATAAATAAAAAGTATTAATATACATAATTTCAAAAATATAATTACGTTTCATTAACTGCAAGAAGTTTAAAAAATAATGAGAAGTAAAATTTTGATGGCAGTTGTCCTTTAAGGGCAGGAGATGGAGAGGGGTTAGGGGCAAGCTTTTAGAGCGAGGTCAAGTTTTGCTTGGGACTCCAGCCCCAGTTAAATTTTGAACAGAGCAACGCCCCTGAGTGTGATAATCATTGTCAGCTGCAAAAAGAAAAAAGTTAAATCTGATCAATTCTATTAGGAATTATTTCTGTACAAACACAGTTAAGGTTTTTAGCTAAAGTGAGAATTCAAAGTGAATTTCAAATTTAAGGCCAAATAGCTGATCTGGAAAATGTCTCTAAGCATGCTATGCTTCCAATTCCTACGTTGGTTTTATATTTGACTATCACTTTGCATTCTCACATTAGAGATTAACTCTGAGTTGGGTTAGGACATCTTCCACTAAATAATGCCATAGAACATATTTAAATCCGCAATGCCTTAGTATAGATGGATTTTATATAAAAGTACATTATAAAAAGTTCAGCTACATATATATAGATTGGTTTCATATATATATTTTATAGGGCTTAACTGTTCAAAGTTGGTAATGAATGCTGACGGCAAAGACAAACCCTTCCTATTTAATATCAATTCTGTATACCAACTCGTTATTTGCCATTTCACAACATGATCACTAATCCAAAAATGCAAGATAAGAATAAATTAATGGCAACAATATCTGATGCTATAAAAGTGCACTTCCTGGAACAAGAAAAGTGAAACTAGCTCTCAATACTTTGAGGTTTTAAAAAAAAAAAAACAGCCATGTTGGCTGTCAAAGATACCCATCTGTCCCACCTCAACTACACATGCACAAACACTCAATTCTTTATTCTTTTAAATTAGTCAGGGTTGGAGAGATCCATTTGCCAAACCAGGAAAATGGTGCAATATCCAAGACAACTGAAAAGGTCGTGCTCCAAAATTTAACATACATATTTACAAATGAAACATGTCTAGATGTGCACTTCTACATCGAAACATGTATATTGAAGTATTGCTGTCTCATTACGGTCTCTAAACTACAGGTTTTTTGTTTGTTTTTGTTTTTCAATTAAAAAAAATAAAAATTGGTTGTGGTGTAGGGAGCAGGCAAATAAATTCTAATGAAGTATTGTAATTGTTACTGTGTAGGCTGCCTGTAACTGGACTTTAGGTAAAGTAAAATAACATTAACACTAATGCACTGTACAGGTAATTTTGTGGCTAGAAACAAACAAATCAAAATGCAAAATAAAAATTGTCCTTGTCATGGCCGGATGATGAAAGTGATTTCCTTGGCTATGAATACCAGGCTGTCTGTGTATATATTTATATATACTGAAATGCTAGCAGCATGGTATATATTATAATGGTCCATTACAATAAACACTTTTTTTTCGGTCTCAAAAATAAAAATAATATGTATATGCATATATATATTTATTAACCCTTTCACTGCTTGCCAGTCCTGCAACAAGTCAATTTACAATGTGATGTGGACCTCTGGGGCAGTGAAAGTTTAAGATCTAACTCAATGACAATGCTCCTGTAACAAAATATTCCTGACACAGATTTGTCTGGTTATCGTTGTCTTTTGTATCCTGGACATACTCTGTATTCCCTTACAGAGACTTTGAAATCTCATTAGATTGTACATTCCACAGTGAAGTTAAGTCCTTCTCTTTTCTCCTCTGCTTCATATTGCGCATGACACATTCACAAACATTTTCACTTCTGCACGGACAGTAGTGTGTCCCCCGTTCAGAAAACGTGGCCCAGATTCAGAGAAAGAACCGAGTAGAAAGTTATAGGGCCTATTGTGCTTAGGATGCTCTGAGAATTTGCTCTGCAGCTGAAGTGCTGGGAATTGCCATGCTGACCTGCTGTGCTCTTTCAGACCACTGCAAAGAGAAAAGCAGGATTAGGAATTAAAGGAGATGATCTTTATCCAAACATCAAATAAACCTCCCTTTGGAGCTCCTGACAGGAATGTGAATGCCTAGAATATCATAGCCAACTTCAATCAATTGTAGAACGTGTACCAAGACTTAAAAATTGCTCTTAAATGGACAGTATAGACATAATAGCTGCTAAATCACATTTAACTACTTATAGTGTCTGGTGTACCCTGGCACATGTTTTTCTATAAAACTCCCAACCACTTGCTATAGGTTATTACTTAATTTTAAGCTCCCCTGATATTTTACAGACCCAATCATCATGGCATGTGCCTTTCTCAGTGTCCAGTTGCTTGTTTTTAATTGCAGTGGGCACTCGTTGGCTGCTCACTGTTTAGTAGTCAGCCCCTACCTGTGGCAGGGTGGCTGGGGTTTTAAGGGAGGTATTGTACCTCACTTACACTAATATAGGGGTCATATTGACCCATATAGGCATTATGATTTATTTATTTTTAACATTTTAGCAAGCATCACTTAACCCTCATAGTGCTGAAGGACAGAGTTCTGATTTATGAAACAAACGAAACGGCTCATTCATTACCAGTTTTGTTTGTTTTTTAAGATTTCCATGTGAGATTTCAGAGTTGCAGAATTCACAATTTGTCCGAAACTGAAAGGACAAGTCTATTGCAATAATACATTTTGTTTACTATTTTTAACAATGTGAACATATATTTGTCAGAGGATCATGGGAAGTGTAGTCTATCAGCACCATGAGAGGAACATTTAATCAGCCTTACCTAGAACCACAAGACACAGAGTATCTTTGTCCAAGTCCCCCATTCCCTCAGCCTCACAATGACAGCGTTATTTTCCTCTTGGCCGTTTAACGTTCCCTCCTGCTTTTGGATACTGTAACCTTTCAACGTTTCTGTTCAGTGTTTACTGCTTTTAGTTTTTTTTGGGTTTTTTTAAACTAAATTTGGCATGCAGCCACAGCTTTTAGTTTAAAGTGCCCTTTTCACCCTCTAATGCTCCTAACTTCTAAACTTCATCTAAAAGAACATTGTGCTTCAAGCATACTTTGTATCAAGTACATGTGGCAGGTTGTATAAAGAAATACTTATGGAAAAATCAGTGTAAAAATGTCACAATTCACGTTTATTTCAGAAAAAGAAATTACAGGAGATAATCCATTTGTTTTTATATTGAAGGGCTGACGCAACTCATTCATAAAACGCAATCTACGGCTTTACTGTCATTGCTTGCTACTGCTCCACAATTAATGTTTTATACTCAGATGTCCTCCAATGCATTGTTTTTTTATAGCGTCCTGTCTTTGCCTCATTGCAAAATGTATTACCGGAATACCTGCTCTATTGTATCATGCTCATGGCAAAAGGTATGTCCTGCCCCTTCTATGCGCGCACAGTATTCACTATATATACACTGAATTGTTAAATATAAACACACACATAATAGGTCCACTTCAGTATGGGATGCACCAGAGCGGATATATAGATTTTCTTACCAGTTTCTGTTTTGCAGCAGGATGCTCCTCCTTTAAGAAATCCTGGTTTTTCATGTCTGCAGAACAGTGCTCGACACCACTCACACTGTTTTCTCAACCTGCAGCAGCTGGGAAACACAACATAAAGCAATGAGCAAAGAACTGTAGGATTTAGTTATTTTGTAACACTCATTTCAATTTTGCATATGCAAACATAGCAGGATATTTACCTGGGTCAGACAATGTTATTTTAAAGCTAGAAAATCAGTTAAATGATCATGCATTTAGGGATGCTTGAAATTTATCCCAATCAATACAAGAGATTTTAAATAGGTCTCCTGCATAGGATTCCAGGCTGTGAACAAAATCCACTTGTTGCCATCAGGAAGCGGGTACTATAACCCAGGAAATGTTAGCCAGGGCACTTATAGAGTACATCCTTGCTGTATTTGTTTGCTACTTAGGCCACTACAAAGCAAAATAAATTATATAAAAAGGATAGACACAGTCGCTAGAAATATTTATTTATATTTATTAAATGCTTCTAAAAAAAGACATGCTTCAAAGATATGCATCTCGATTCTTATTGCAGTCGCAACAAAATTTCCTTCAAAGCAGTTTACGATGTTGCCTGAAGTGAAGTTACACATACAGCAGGGAGATTAAATATCTCTGTATTTGTAGCATGTCTTACAGAAACATGACATATACAAAATGCTTGCACCATGATCACTTGTAAATACCGATCTGGTCATGGTACTTTTAGGAACCTTTAACCCCTTAAGGACAAATGAAGTGTGATATGTCATGATTCCCTTTTATTCCAGAAGTTTGGTCCTTAAGGGGTTAAAGCAACAAGTCTTTAAATAGGTCACAAGGTTTCATGCTCGCTTATAACCACACACTGCCCATTTTCAAATGATCGGAACTTTTTGACCGTGCACCTTACATTTATCCCAGATAGTTAGTAAGGTAGTTAGTATAGTAAGGTAGTATTTATCCCAGATAGTTAGTAAGGTGGTCTGTGCAAAACCTCTTTTAAAATGTTATACTTACTGTATTAAAACACAGGCCAAAACAAGGACTGCTGTTGCTACCACCGATACCACCACAAGTGCTGTAATTGTTTGTTTTTTCTGATTTTCTGCCACAACTGCTAGTAGATCAGCATGCTCACAGCGTGTGCCCACATAGCCCGGCAGGCAGCTACAGAGAGACAGGATAATGCATATTACAGATGGTTCTATCGATAATTACAGTTATTTGATTTGGCTAAGAGGGAAATGAAAACTCAGCACGAAATGTATACAGTATCAGTGCTCAAGGCAATAGGTGTCTAGTATCTCCTGCACTGAGCATATGCAAAATTTAATACATTATATATACATACACACACACATTATATATATCACATTTCTAATGAGACTGGGGGAAAGCATTTCTGCCCAAAAGCTATGACAGATAACTTGGTCTTAATGCTCTTTATATACCATATACTATAGAATGTACATAAAATGCATTACAAATACGATTGCTTCTACTGAAAATATCCCACTGGGCTTTTTAAAGCCTCTTCAAACATACAAAAAATGATCAGTATATATTCATATTCTAAATTGGGTGCGGTAATGGGAACTAGAGCTCATTAAAACATAAGAAGTTAAATATAGCCTGATCTGAAGATGGCCTAACTTTAATGCTCCTAAGTTTTATGTCCTTGCCTGTCTGGAAGAGATAAGGGAGAGAATACACCCATTATTAAAAGAAAACTGAAGGATTCCATTCCAAGTAACAATAAATAAATCAGAAATCATGATAACATTTTCACCTTTCCATTGGAATTGGTATAGAGGTCTATACTTGCCCTACAATTAATTAGTGTATACTCACCTACACTTGCAAAATTAGCATTTATTTATTTAGAAGTTCTAATATTAAGATACCAGCATTCCTAACAGGCCATTTGCGTCACTAACTAAATAATGACCTGGAATCACTTGGAATTTTATCAATCCAGGTAAGTATTTCCCCGTTGACAATAGAATCGAAGGTTATGCGGTTTTTATTAGTGGTGTTCTGAAGAGTGTGGAAAAGGCAGCAAGTCTAAAGTTCATAATTTGCTATGACAAACAGCAGTTCAAGAAGAAAAAAAACAAACTAAAATGAAGTTAGATAACTCACTGTTACCTTTACAATGCTTTTAAATAAATTCTTCATTGTGAGGTAGAACATACGCAAATTCAGACCTTTATGTTTCTCAATGAGTCATTCGATACCGTTTCAAACTTCAAAAGTGCCGGCTGGTAGTAGAGGATCATTCACAGATACAAATATCCTATTGTATGCTTTGTTGTTAGTGAATGAAGTATTTGTGAAATGATAAGTCTATGCTTTAAAGACAGAGGTCTCTCTGTGTTATATAGAGCAACGTGATAGGCAACTCACGAAGGAATTTGAATAAATGAACCAGTTTTCCACAGAGATAAGACAACCTGTGTAAATGAGGGCATCTAATTTGAGCACGTTGACACTGAAACAGTTTTGCCATAAATCTTAGGAAAAGCTACAACTACTAGATTGGCTAAGACTGTTACTGCTAATTGCGTTAATCTTGCACTTTTTAAAAGGATGTTTCAGGACATTTAAACTCATACATGAATGCGTTAGTAGGTACTGGCATACCCTGATTGGTGTACTGGGATAAAGTGCTCTCTTTACGAAAGGGCATGTCATTATGACACAATCCGCATCATAGACACGTCCATTCGGCACTTACTTGCCAAAGCTAGGATATCTGCACCTGTAACATTTTTGTTATTCATTCATTTAAACCCATTTACAAAAAAACTGGCTTTTGAGGAGGCCATTTTGGGTTTAATCTTGACAGACTGTTAATGTGTGTTATAACATTGCTTGAACGTATTCAAAGTTTGGTGTTAGTCACAGAATTTTCCATCAACTGGATTATACATTTACAAATTGCAAACAACCATTCCACTTTAAAAGATAAGTAAGATTTTAATAGATTTCAATTAGGGACCAGTGTATGTGGTCGGGCTGCATGTCCCAACCAAAGGATCATTAGAATTAAATAAAATAAGCAGAAAACTATGGGGTGCACATATGTGAGACATGGAGAAATGTTGGCTAAACAATGAATTGTGGTAAAAAATTAATTTAAAAAAAAGCCATGTCCACCACCCTCCCAAAAAGCAAAAATAATAAAAAAAAATAAACACAAAAAGAAAAACCAACACAATCAAACCCATGTTTTGCAGCTTGTCTCAATTTATTCAGTTGAACAAATAAAATCAATGTTTTGCCAAATTGTCATTGCTTCCCAATGTTTCGAGTTTAATAAAATAAATCCAGACGAGCTGACAAGAACAAAAATCTATGAAATGCTGAGTGCTCAGGTGATAGGAATTATCTGTACAGCAAAAGAAATGATAAACGCAAGCAAAGATCGATAGAATAGTGAGATATGTAATAGTCTGTCTGTCAGCATTTTTGAGAGCTGAGATCACAGTTAGGTTTTAGTTTAGTAAAAATTATTACTTACACACAGGCTGGGACTGCCTCCTGTATTAAAAACCTGCAGCTCCCGTGGAAGCAAAAATCCGTGTGGGAATCTGGGCAGTCGTTAAAATGAGATACAACTGCAGCTGCAACTGGAGGATCTGCTAACAAAAACAAAACCAGAATTAATTCATCAATTCCATCCAGCACAAATCATTATTAGAAAATCAACATTAATTAATCAGTTTACCAAGAAAACTATATTGTAAACCACTGTGTATGCAAAGATTTCATTCATAACGGAATTTCTAAAACATCTGAATTTCCAATATCCTGTGTCTACTATGAATTTCCAGCACCGTGACAATAGTGCCTTATAGAGCCGCTACCACCAGATCAGAACTAGTCATACCATTTCACAAGTACACCACTCCAATCCTGTCTTTGTCCAGCACATGCTACAGTTATGTGCTGCTAGCTTTGATGCCTTGGAATCTTTACAGTTCCAAGTAAAGCATATCTGTTCTGTACTCTAAGTACACAGAGTATTCAGCATTCCATATACATGCATTTCTTTCATTAACATTCAGGTAATGTCATCACTACCTCCAATGAACTAACGGCAGTCATATAGGACTTGAACCCAGTGCATTACCACAGTGATTTTATTTCTCTAAGCACATAAAAGATTACTTCAATCACCATGACCACTTCAGTGATTTAAAATTATCATGGTGCCTGGAGTCTCTACGTGCAGCAAATTGCTATGAAATGCTCTACATGTAGGAGGTGTAACTCCATCTTCAGTAGTGCCATTGGAACATCATTATCCAGGCCGAAAAAAAAAATATATAAATTCTGTACATATCAGATGTCTGATGTCAGCATGCACAGCATGCTGGAGACAAGCATACAACGTAGGCATTCCCCACACCCATCCATGCCACCAATATCCTTCAATACATCCCTCCTCCAACAGGGAAAACGAGTCACGTCAGTGGAAGAGGATTGGGCTGCAGGTGGACTTTGGCCTCGGCACAAGATCAGAGGCACACTTTGGAGCTTTTGCTTTTATTTGTTTGAGAGGGGGTGACCAGGATAGCAAGTTTACTCTAACCAAAACCAGCGTTCTCGCAAAACACAGTTTTTTGGCTGAAGGGCAATGATTTTCAAAAAGGTGAAATACATTCCATGTAATCCCAGCATTGCATTGGACATGGCACATCAGCTTCTCCTTTTTTTACGGTTAGCCTGAATTAGTGAAACAATTGCATAAGGAATGGACAATAAGGTACGTTTTCTAGCAGAGATTCCAAGGAACACAATTAACGAACAGAATTCAAATCGTGAAAAGCAAAGTCAATTAAGACTTACTTTACCGATCCGTTACGTAAAGGTGGAAAAATAAGTAAAATTTAAAGTCAGACAGATAACTCTATTTAACTTTATGCAGTAATCTATAACAAATAGTGTCAAATTATTTAACCAGGAAGCATATATTTAGCTTTTGCTAGTTTAAAGGGACACTATATTTACCAGAACAACTACAGCTTAATGTATTTGTTCTGGTGAGTATAGTCAGTTTTTTTGCAGTAAATATTTTTGAAAAAATTCAGTGTTTACATTGCTATCTAGGGACACATCCAGTTACAGACACTTAGACAGCTACTAGAGGTGCTTCCTGGGTCAGTGTTGCACAACACTCTGCATGTAGACACTGAACAATCCCCAAAGAGATGCATCTATTTACTGCATCTCTATGAGGAGATGCGAATTGGCTAGGGTGGCATTTGGCTCTGCCCCCACCCTGCCTCCTTTGCTGAGATGATCAGAATTGACAATCTCAGCCAATACAATGCTTTCCTATGGGACATAGGTCAGCAAAGGATTCGGATCGGAGGCAGAGCTAGGATAAAAGTAAGCTACTTATTTAAGGAGAGCAAGGGGGGTAGGCTGGGAACCTAAATAGTGTATTTAAACACTATAGGGTTTGTATTCCTGACCCTATAGGGTTCCTTTAAGTATGTATTTATGTTGCTATTGTTTTCCACCTCAGTGTTGCTCATTCTATTAACCTCAGAAAGAAAAAAACATGCCATGCTTATGTGAGTGAACAGAACACCCCAAGGTTTCAATATTTGCTGGCAATACTAAAGCTGGAGCACTAAACACTGATCAATACCATAAAAATGACATGTATCCATTAGCAGTTTTACAGTTATTTCCACATTGAATATTTTTAATCGCTGCATAATTGTAAGATTTAGAATTACCACAGTTGGATCCTAAGTTGGATTCTAAGAGCAAAGACTCAAAATGTAGACCTGTATCTTGCTACTAATAAATGAAATATAAAGATAATATATGAAGTCATGCTATTCCATCATAATGTCTACAAGCTGGTGCAAGGATAGCAAGTCTTTTATCCCTCAGTGCATCTAGGAAAGATTTTCATTTTGTGGGCTGGGAGAAGTTCCATGAAGTGGGGTTTGTGGTGACAGGAGGGAAAGAGTTTGACTCAATCCAAACATTTGTTCTGTGGTTTGACACATTTCTGTATTTTCCTTTCTTACATTTCACAACAGTCTACCTTTTCAGGACAGGTGGGGAACATACTTTGGTTTCTTCTTGCTGTAGTGGTGCCCAAGATTTCCTTGAGACAACAGGTATGTCATGGTTAGTCAACAGGCTTAGCCTCCAGTTTTTACTAAAACTACATATACCACGATGCTCTTCCACCACATATAACCATCCAGATGTGGAACTAGAACTCCCAGGATGCTTTGCCAGTCTCTTGTTGGCTGTACTTGAACTATACATTCTTTAAGAATCTTCTCATCAAACTGTCTTCACATTCCGGGTTCAAAACATGCTGTGCCTTGTGAGGGCAGGGACAGACATTTTTTACATTCCCATTGTACAAAGTGACTTCCTTCACAGCAATCCACCATCTATGAGACAGCATCTATTAAGTTTGACCTACTCTTAACATTTTGTTTGTATTTATATATCCAATTACAAAGAAAATCAAGCCATTGTGGTATTTCTAATAAAGGGAATAGATTGTAATTTAAGGCCATGCAGGAAGCCAACATCCCTCAATGGTATTCATTATATGTCCTAGAAAGGAAAGTATTATTTCATGATGTCCTCAATGCCAAGATATGTTCTCATTGGAAGGTGGCCAGACAGTATTATAGCAGTGTAGGTAAGTGTAGGACCTCCATCTCATTGCCTTGATCTTAGTCCAGGTACAAAAGTTTGTTATAATGCACAGAGAGTGCAGGAATTCCCAACACAACAAAAGGATTTTAGTAAGGTTTCATTCTGAACACAAACAGTTGAATGAATTAGGTAAATGGTTGAGAGATAACCTAGATGGTGTTAAATAAGTAGCATCTATTTAGAGGAAAATCACGCTGCCAATGTACTTCCTTTTTTAAACTCTTTTTCATGTTATTTTTATTTTATTAGTGATATTATAACAGGTATTGAAGATAATGTGTGTCTTATTAGTAGATGACACATATCTAAAGCAGCGTTATTGCCATATGAATAAGGAAAATTAAAAATGACAGGGGACTCCATAACTGTATATTGCCTTTGCTAAATGTTAAACCAGAATCCAGTGGACAAAAGTGCTTCAGGGATTGCAAATTAGGATTACTTAAAGGTAAATTGGAACTGTAACTAAGTAGTAGAAAAAAAAAAAACGGAAAAAATAACCATGTCAGATTGTGTGAAAGCTAGTTTTAAATATGAAGAGGTCTTTTCATTTCACAGATCACTGATGAGAATAGTCATAGAAATTATGGAAATTTCAACTCACACAGGATTTGAATACACTGGGGAGTCCAAAGAAAAGCTAATTTGGACTAATAAAATGGCTACTTCCATAATAAAAAGAGAGAGAGAGAGAGAGCGTGCAAGAGCAAGCAAAATATATTTGCCTAGGTTGAAGGAGAAAGGTTTGTATTAAATATTTAAAAATTGCATTTCCATGGGCTGTGAATAACCCTCCCCTGAAGTGGTGGTTAGCAACCTAGGAACCCCCACTATGGGATGGGCTGTTATAGACAAATGTGATAATACCAAAATGTAAACTTCAAATAACAGAATAGGACTTGTATTTCCACAATATCCCACTGCATACAACAATCATTTGGATTTTCAGATTTTTCATGCAAATGAGTGGTTACATTCATCTCTACTCAATAACAGAGGTGTACTTTACAAGAGTAACAACTGGTATCTGTGCCTGTGTTATGTTACATTATTATCATTGTCCTTTACTTCCAGCTATTGCCTATCCTTACCGATTATCCACAGTAATAAATGTTATATGTAGTCATACTATTCTTAGAACTAAGTGGTGTGGATGCTGTAAGTAAGCAGTGGAGGCTTCTGGGAGATGCTTATTAAGCTATAGTATTAGACATAAAAGCTCTTAAAAATAAAAAATGAGTGGTTGAGTATACAGTTTTCCCATGCACACTGCTGCTCAAAATAGTATTACTGTGATGTCACCTATGTGAATTCATGTAAAATAAGCCTATAGAGAAAAAAAAACCTTGGGGGGAAAAAAATGTCTAACATTCCACCATTGAGGTCATTGTTACTGATCAGATCACAGTCTGCAAATTACATGGTTGTGTTTCTTTTAGTGGCACCTTTGGCTATTTATCCATATATATTAGGTTAAAGTCAGTTACCAAGGTTGCTTTCTCAATTCTTTTCTTGTGTATTTATTTTTAGACCCCTCTTTTCTATCCTCCAGAATTCATATGCTGATCGAAAAGTACTGATGAACGTGATATCATGACTTGGGCACCTGGGAATTGTAGTTCAGATGTTTGCTTGTTACAGTAGTTGTGTATTGTGATAGATCATATGGTACGCTGAAAAGGAGTTCCTGATTAGTGAAATGGTAAATAGTTAATGGTTCCAAACTAAAAAGGAGTATTGATGTTTTAAGATCTACTGGTTTACAATTATTGGGCACAAAATATCACTGGATCTAACATAAAGGAAAGTTAATTTTAACTGTATAAATATCTCCTGAAGCATGAATTAGACAAAGGCTACCTCAAATACAGCATCTAATTCTCGTTTCTACACCAATACCATTTTCTGTTAACCCTGCTTGACCACATCCATCTAAACCTTAAAAGAATCATGATAAAATCATAATATGTGTATATTGCCATGTACTCTAAACAGAATGCAAGTCCTATGGAGTGTGAAGCATAGAACTACTTATTACCATTTATAATCTATACTCCTTGTATTTACCGGTGTATTTCCCATTGCATGTTGTGTAGTCATGTGATGTTAAAAATAGTTCCTTATTTTACCCCATGTGATCATAGTGCACCTTTAATCATTCTTGAAAGAGCACCCTTTACTGTGTTTTGTAAATAGCATTTCCTTGGCCAATTCAGTGGACCACCTACTGGGCTTATTCTTCTCTTTGACCCATCTTTCCACACTCGAACAATGAAAAGATTCTGAACTTTATGTGACCATCTGCTCTTCAGATTCTTTGAACTTTAGCACAGGTGTACATCACTTTGAAGCAGGGCCTACCTGCATAATAGACTCGCCCACCAATCTTCCTCATATAGTTAACCACTACATGTCCAGGACAGATGAACGAACAATGGAGAGACGGGCATTTCCCTTTTTTTTTTTTTTTTATGTGCACCCCCCCCTCCAAAACAAAACACCACCAAAAAAAATAAAAACAACAAAACTAAGAAACGTAATACCGTTATAGAATATGCTTTAAATCCATTGAATAACATTCCATCATGGTTGGATGCTATTGAAACAGGGATATTTATAGACCATGCAGTCAGAAGCTTATCCTGATTATACAAAAATAGCTATTGTTAAACTAAATATAGGCCGCTTGAAAGGCCTCTGTAGCAGACACTATTATATTATTCATACTTAACCACTAGAAGAATATGATAAATGCAGAGAATATTCTGAACAATAAAATGTATCAGAACCTACTTAAAGTATAGAATATATTTTGGGTAAAGAGGTACTCAGGATAGTGTGGTATATTTAGTTATTTAAAAACATGAAGAAATTTAACAGGTAAACAGAAGAGAGAAGACCTACCCAAAGAAACTAAAAGGCTGATATGAGATTATGCCTTAAAATTAGTAAGAAAAAAATAAAATGTAATAATATTTAATTTTCCATTTTATATTTTTGAAATGCTATTACATGTATGGAACTGCCTCACAGCAACGGTGGTAAAAACACATATTGTAGCTGCACTCAAAATATATGGGAACAGGCATACAGATATCTTTTCACGTAAATAAGCCACATATGAAATTTAGGAAATTTTACACTTCTTTATTTTCTACACAATATACTATAATGGGAAATGAATCTAAAAATCTAACGTATGCAGATATGCTAATTTTAGTTACAAAAAGAAGACCAAAACACCAAGTTGTGGGCAGAAAAACCATGCTCACTCACTGTGTAGAAAATAATGGCGTATTTAAAAAATTGTTTCCAATCTGGTGTCAAGGTTTAAACTCTTTTGGATGCTTTATTTATTTTTCACTGGCTATTTTGCTTTACAGACCCACTTCCACAAAATCTTTTAGGGATTCTTGCAAACAAAGCACAAGCACAATTTGTTGATCAATAAACCTATTCGGAGCTCGGCTACCCTTTGAGAGTCCACTCTGGAGCAAGGGACGCCCCAAACCTAAAAGACCTGGTTATTTCCATGCCAGCAGACATATTTGCAGACGGATCTTCCAAAAGACACAGCCTGCATTTCAACATCACCCTGTGCAAACAAGCAGAGCAGTTCATGAATCGCTCTTTGAACCCATCGGAAAATGATTCGACTACAAACAAGAATATACACCTCCCTTGTTTCACCCTGATGCATCAATTGAAACGCCAGGAAAACTTACATTTATTCCCACCCCCCTCGGGGAAAGCTGCAGGAAACATAAAGATCTTTAGCCAGGTCTTTTAATTTAATCTCTTTGAATTATGCACATTCATTAAATAGGAGGTAAAGGAGGGGGAAAGGTGGATGTAAAACCTCCTTACTTGAAAGCAGGCGCCCAATAATCAAAAACACAGGGGCGTTTTGGAGTTTCACGTTTCAGCTCCTGACTTGTAAGTTGAAGTTTATGAATGAAGTCTGTGATTGTGCTCTGTGTGTGAAGAGGAATGTCACCTGTGATTATACCGCAGAGCACTTACACTGAATGTAGCAAAGATACGGGATATGCCCTCAAATACCCTAATGCAAGACTGACATAAATCATTAATTTGTCTACATTAATAGTTTCTGTACCACAGGGGACATGAAAGAGCTGACAGCCGCAGCTACTGTCTCCCCTACACAGAAACAACTTGACAACTGACGTCTCGCCACAAATATCTAAACAAAATACACACAAAAATATCTGCTCATACAAAAACATGCAGTCTAAAATCTTTTTATGCTACTTAAAAAAAAAAACATCACCAATGTCAAGTGAAATATTTGGGGATTTAGTCACACAATGTACCCATTCTCCAATAAACTCACTTATATAATTTGAAACTGTATATTTTGTGAGCGTTGCTTCATCGTTCCGCATTATTTATAATTCAAGTTCATTTAAGCAGCTTTATTAAGTAATATAGGTTCTGAATAGTGCTATCCAATTCTGTATTTTTCCAATGATATTCAACATTGATTTTGTTGATTTGCTTTTTCATGATGTTTTCTGGTATTATACATGTTCTAAGCATTTTCTTTACTGTGTTTTATTTACTTAATGTGTTTAGATTTACCACTCCCACCATATACCTATTCCTGGCAACAACTATTCTTTATGTTGCAAAGCAGAATTTTAAACATATTAAATCAGCCCTTAAAGGGTTACTCCAATCATCATGACCACTACTCCTTTTAGAAGTGATCATGGTGGTAGGATTCAGTTTGTGCTGCCTTTTTCCTTGAAGCGCTACACATAAACAGGTATTTGCAATTATGTGCCGAGGGTTAGTTACACCCCCTGCAGAAGTGACAGTGGCAGCTCCGGAACGCTCTTCCGGAATGCCAAATGTTAACTCTGTGCATATTTTAAGCGCGATGGTGACAAGCGTAATGGAAGTTTGTGTCTGCCCTCCCTCCATCCTAAACTGCAGCTGTCCCCCCTCCTTATACCCTCCACTATGTTTTTGTATCCTGTCCTAACTTCCCACTATTTCTCCCGATCATTGTTGTAAGTAAAAAATAAAAAAAGAAGGTTTGAGTAACACTTATACAGTACTATTTATTTTTTGTAAAAACTCCTTCAAAAATCTTTGACAAAAAACCCCCAAAACAAAACGAAACAAAACCGAGGAACAGTAGTAGCAGTGTGTATGTTGCTTTGAATTTCTTGTCTTTTACAAGTATGTCATACTCTATAGATTTTATAATATGAAAAAATACCAGTGAAGCATTTCTTCTTTTTGGTCTGAAACAACACTCTATAAAAAAGTTATGTGAAGAAGTCAGAAGACCTTAAATAAATCCGGTGATGAATTGAAGAAACTGAATTTCTAGAAAGAAGCATTACATAAAGTACAAAAATATAAGGGTTACAGAGCAAAACTTCTCGGATAAAATGAAAAAGGTATTCAGTCAAGAAGAATGGCAACTGACAAGCACAAATAGTATGATGATTTATTAAAGGACCACTATAGTGCCAGGAAAACATACTCAGTTTAAGCAGCTTTATTAAGTAATATAGGGCTCTGTGGAGAGGATTGGGTTAAAATCTTACCTTTCTCCAGCACCGGGCGGGGAGCTCTTCTCCTCCTCTTCGGCTGAATGCGCATGCGCGGCAAGAGCTGCTCGTGCATTCAGCCAGTCTCATAGGAAAGCATTCATAATGCTTTCCTATGGACGCTGGCGTCTTCTCACTGTGATTTTCACAGTGAGATGCACACAAACGCTTCTAGCGGCTGTCAATGAGAGGCTGGATTAACGCCACTAGAGGCTGGATTAACCTATTTATAAACATAGCAGTTTCTCTGAAACTGCTATGTTTATAAAAAAATGGGTTAACCCTAGCTGGACCATGCACCCAGACCACTTCATTAAGCTGAAGTGGTCTGGGTGCCTAGAGTGGTCCTTTAATTGAAAATTTCCAAACTTATTTTAATCATAGTGAAATGTCCATATCAGGCCATTGAAACTGGTAATTGCACCTACAAAACAGAATGCTTTCAATGGATGTCAATAGCAGACATGAGAATCAAAAAACCCTCAGAAAAAATTAGGAGAATTTTGTTGCATCATAGGAACAACTATTTTATTTGGCATTTAAGAAAACAAAACAAAAAAACATGAGGTCCAACATAGTTATTTGATACAATTCTACTGTAGCTGAAGTTGAAAGCTTTTGTGCTGAGAGTTTAGCCATTTAACTTATAAAATGACTTCTATACGGATCACGCATTGATGGTCTTTCTGTTCCTTTTGAACTTTATTTCTTGTCCTATTTGTACAACTAAATAAAGATTATCAAAAAAGAAGTACCTAGCAATCTTTACAGAGCACACAGAGGCTTGTTTACCTGGAGAAACTGGCCACGTTAGAACAATGCAGCACCAGCTCCCAATAAAGCACTTACTTCCCCACTATCTTTAGTGGTTAGTTCTAGTGAAAAAAATACTCAAACTGTGATGATTAGAACTGAGCCATAGTAATCACTGTGGATCCTTGGCCACACAAGGTATTATGAAGTATCGCCCTTTTTAGAAATTCTGAGCTGAGGAACCCTGCAGTTTATCAATACTATATTTTGATACTATGTAAATATTGTATTTCTCTGTTCACTAATATGCATGGTGAATATTTACTTATCTTTTCCATTAGCTCACTTTGATCCTACATGACTCCATTACGTTGATGAATGGCAATTATGTCCCAATATTTTTGCGAGATGCCACATCAAATAAGACCAAAGTCATTAATCATGGCTATTAGAATTCATAAAAATCCTCATACACACCTGCACTGTGCTGCCAGAAAAAAGATGGGTAAAATGGATGTGCAAAATAACCAGAAATTTACAGCAGACAGCAGCATGTTTTGGAGGTACCCAGCTTGCTACATATTAACCATTTCTTTGTGGACCAAGAGCAACGCAAAGAAAATCAAAGAGGGTAAAAACTACGCTCACTAACCTAAACATTTCAATTATGCCCGTATTCGCAAGGGCCAACACTTTCATTGAAGACGCTGGTTTGCATATTCTCTCCCTGTTAAGTGTTACATGTTCATTACGCCCTCTGTAACTACCTGGGTTACACAACCTGATCCCTGGGATCTAATGTCAAACCATACACATTCAGAATTCAACAGTCTTGACTCTCATCCAGAAAATGCTCCCAATACGTTGAAAATGTATTTCAATGTAAAACTATTTTTTTTTTCTTTTTTTTATACTGAGATGTAAAAAAAGAAGACATGCTATATCTCAAAGGTCTTGTTCACTAGGGCTGCTATCATGTAAGTTGTAGTACTATAATAACTGTGGATCTACATTTTGGCCACTTTAAATGTGATAAATATGAATTAAAACACAAACTAAGTAAACTCCATGGCATGGGCTAAAAACAAACAATTGTTTAATGCTAGTTCCTATACAGGAACACTTTAACCCTTACATGACTAATGACCGGTCATTGAGGTCATGATATAAGAAAAAAAACAAACAAACAAAAAAACTATCCCTAATCTTTGTCCCAAATGTTACACTGGCTTGTGCTCATGGATACACACAACACCTTTCTAAAAAAAAAAATGGACAACTTCACTATGGTTAGTGAGGAAAATGTTATACTAATACCAAATACTTTATAATGTGTGAATTGCTAGCTCTCAGAAAATGCTTCCATCTAAATGCAGCAAAGGATATATTGTTATATCTATAATTCAATAAGCGTAATTTAATCATTACACAGTCACCACTAAGACTGCAGCATGCAGATGAATGGCTAGGCTGCAGTGACCACAGTGACTAATCAACGCTAAAAGAAACAGTGTCATAGACAGGTGACTTTCTAGCAACGATACTATACACACCTGTAGCATGATTAGTGACAATGTGATCTGTGTCCTATTAAAATTTCTCAATTATTTTCACCTTGAATACAGGAAAACTGCATCTTTAGTTTATACACACACACACACACACATATATATACACATACACACACACACACACACACACTTCTCTTACTTGTTCTGTTACTTCAATGATGCTTCTTCATATGGAAATTAAATGGGAAGAGCCGGTTTGCTTTTGTCGGTGAAATCAATCGTAATCTTCTGCCAAAATCTACAATAATTTATTAAAGTGTTCCTAACCTGCTAAATACCCATTTGGCACTCCTATTCATTCTTAGAAGTAGCGCAAAAGGAAAGAATTAACCATAAAATGTATTCATTATGGAGATCCCATCTTAAGTAACAATTAACAATGAAATATGTTAGGCACAAAAGGAATTAAAGTAGTATAAAGGGAAATGCTGACTTTTTGAAAGGCTCACTAAAAAGCACACTCAATAGAGGGGGGAAATTGTAAAGGGTTACTTGTTTTTAGGCTCATTGCTTAACCAACCAAAGGAGATGGCGTGTACTATTACAGTAAGAATATTAAATAATGGTAGGACTTGGCAAAGATTATTCTCAATATAAGAAAATCTAATAGGTGCTAGTAATATGGAAGTAAATTAATTATTAATAATAATTGAGAATAGGATTTTCTTTTGTTCATAAAATGCAAACATGAAATACACAAAAAGTAGCTCACTCAGGCTATATCAATGACACAAAATCCGAAAACCCAGCGCAAGAGTTTATATAGAATGAAAGTGACTTGGAATGTGAACAAGGCGGAATGCATTGGGACAAGCTCCATTAACAAAGTAGGGTGCAGAAATACAGCATGTCTAATTTTGTGGACAGAAACAGCAATTCCCTGAGCATTGTACATCACCCTGCACACATACAGACAAAATGCACTGATATCCTCACTATGACTAGCATGTGTGATAGTAGGAGATCAGTAGAGATGTTACAACATAGTTGAACATCTCATTGGTATGGTACTGTGTGCTCACACTTTTTAAGGACAAGCAGATTTTTTGATTGAGGTCATTTATTGTATATTTCACTCTAATTTCTCTTCTTTGTGATCCTTCATAACATAAATATTCTTAGTCCATTGGGGGAAACAAACCGATGACAGAGATTAATTTCCCAGTAAACATGCTCCCATCAAGAACCAGTGTTGGGTCCAGAACCATATGAGTGACATCAGCATGCCTGCTATTCCTCCCTGCCCACCTTCAGGGGAGAGCGCAGGCTGCACAGTGCAGACCTTATCTAGAGACGGTGGCCAGGCTGACTGACTGCCTGCCACCTCAAGCTAGACCAAGTACAGAGTGTTGCTGAAGCTCTGTGTCCTATTGTCCAGTCCCCTGCTGCATTTTGAAATCTGCCAGATTTCAAAACGCAGGACAAGTGTCCAGAAGCTATTTTTACTGGGACAAAACTCCAATATGCGAGACTGTCTGGGGCAAATTCGGGACTGTTGGTACATTTGCATCAAGTTAGCTTTAATGAGCAATATAAAAACTTGTCTTTCTCCTACGTTTTTCTTCTTATCTCATGATCTGTTAGGCCCTTTCATACCAGTGAAAAATATTTTGTCCTCATCAACTACTGCCTGGCTAACTAAACTCCACCATGTTTATTTTGGAGCCATCCTATATGATTTTCTTAAAAGACAGACGAGATGTTGCGTTATTCATCCTTATGTAACACTCTGCAAAGTTTGGCTTAAGTAGAACCATTTAAAGGGGTTGTGGCATTTTGCAGGAAATGCCCAGAATTTGCAAGTAAAAGCTTGAGACAACCTAGATCAGTGATGGCGAACCTATGGCAGCTCTCCTGTCCTCCTGCAAGCAGGTTGTTTTGAGTGTTGCCGCACATTTCCATGGCAACATTCCACACAGCATTGCGTGGGAGGACAGAACTGCAGCCAGACACACATACTTACCACCACCGGACCACCAGGGCTGGCTGTGTACCAAAGGTAAGAAGGAGGGAGGGGGGATTTTATGTATCTCCTTTTTTAAATGTATCTTTACCACCCCCCCACACACACACAGCACTCCTCCCCCCACACACAGTACCCCTTTCCCCTCCCCCAACACAGTACCCCTTCCCCCTCCCCCCACACAGTACCCCTACCCCCATCACCCCCACACAGAACCCCTTCCCCATCACCCCCACACAGAATCCCTTCCCCCATCACCCCTACACAGAATCCCTTCCCCCATCACCCCCACACACAGAACCCCTTCCCCCCATCACCCCACACAGAACCCCTTCCCCCATCACCCCCACACAGAACCCCTTCCCCCATCACCCCCACACAGCACCTCTCAGGCACACCCACACAGCACCCCCCACTCACACCCACAGCACTCCACACACACTCCGCACCCGTATACACAAACACTGCACCCCTCAATGCAGTCTGTGTGTGTGTGCATTCAGCAGACTGTGTGTGTGTGTGTGTATGTATTCAGCAGTCCGTGTATATGTATTCAGCAGTCTGTCTGTGTATGTGTGTACTCGGCATTCTGTGTGTATTCAGCAGTGTGCATATTCAGTGGACTGTGTGTGTATGTATATTTAGCGGTCTGTATGTGTATTCAGCAGTCTGTGTGTGTCGGTGTGTGACTGTATTCAGCAGTCTGTGTGTGACTGTATTCAGCAGTCTGTGTGTGACTGTATTCAGCAGTCTGTGACTGTATTTAGCAGTCTGTGACAGTATTTAGCAGTCTGTGACAGTATTTAGCAGTCTGTGACAGTATTTAGCAGTCTGTGACAGTATTTAGCAGTCTATGTGTATGTATTGTATGTATGTATTGCATTTGTTGGAGATACGAATAAATATAAGCTTAATTTTATCTATATCACTATTTAAAATTTGTATCATTGAACTCTCTGTTGTGTTCTTCTTTTAAAACAAAATATGTTAATTAGTTCAGACAACTGTACAAGTTGTTTTTTTCTAAACTTAAACCTCAGTATTCAGGTTCAATTGCCGTGTTGGCACTTAGAGGAAAAGAAAGTTGGCATGTATTGTGGTTTGGGTACTCAGGCTCAAAAAGGTTCGCCATCACTGACCTAGATGGTCCTTATTTGAAGGTGGAAAAACTCACACTTTAGTGCTGAAAGTAAATATACAGCAGTAGTGCAGCAAGAACAGTGACCTAGTGATTAAACACACATGACATACTGCCTATTATGTGAGCTCTTACAATCTGCTTCATGAAGGCATAGGTGAGAATCTGCAACTGCCAAGCATTAACAAATGTTCAGATCAAACGGAGTACACAGTCTGCTCTCTGATACTAGAAACCTTGCTATTAACAGCATGTAGACTAAAGGACCTGAAGGAGGAACTTACAATTTAAAGACAAGAACAAATGAACCAGGAGCATAGATAAGAACTAACTCTTTCTAATCTGCTACATACCTTTAATCTCAGAATAGCTTGTCCTACATGACAGTTTTTTGTGTTTTAAATTGTCCTATATATCTATATGTATATCTATCTTAATATACCATTACTCCAGGCTTCCAATCATTTCAACATATATGTGAAAATGTATACATTACATATATCCAGGGGTAGATACGTTACAGTTTATACAATTTGAAGGAACATTGCTTTGAATTTCTTTTTACATTTGAACAATTTTGGAGAACTATTTCTATTGAAATCGTGCAGGATTATATTTCTGCATTTTTCCATCGGGGGTATATCTAAACCAGCTTTTAAAAGCTACAGTCCTGCCGTCAGTATCCTTTGCATGTCCTCCCATTTTGAAAGTATATGCTGGGGAATACTCCAATCAGAAGCTTCTTATTGAGACATGTGTGATCACTTGTTCTTATAGTGATCCAATGCTTCTCAATAGGCCATAAATACAGAACTTTAAGAAGGGGGAAATGCAGACATGCTAGTGCAGCGTGCTTCCATTAGGTTTATGGTGCTAAAGGAACACAAATAAAGCCTCTATTGCTTTATGATTGACAGCCAGAGAAGTGTTTCTGCCACAAATAGAAAAATGTAAATTTTTATTGGAATCAGCACTTTTATAAACTGATGTGACAGACTCCAGACACATAAAGCACATCAACAAACTGAATATACCAATAGACTGAAATCATCATTACAGTATAACCATACAACACATTGTCTTAATAGTGCTCAAAATTTCAAGACCTACGCTACCAATTAGTCCTAAATGCTACTTGCAATGCATGTCTAGAGGGCCCACGCCACACTAAATAGGGATGAACTTTTACTCCTCAGGGCTGAATTTTCACTGGTTATATAGTGATAGAGATATATATATTACAATGTTAAACAAAAATCTGCACAGCCATAAGACTTGCTTTTCCCACAGAAATCACAAATTTGCAGTGATGTTACTACCTCAAATGATTCTGGGTGGGCATATGAAAATTAGTTTAATATATATAAAACCAACAACATCAAGCAGCGCTCTATAAATGAGAGACAAAGAGCACATTTTCAGAAAAACTAAAAAAAACTCTGAAATAAATGGTGTGGACCACACTCTTCAAAAGAGCTTCATGTGTTTGTATCCAACAGAGATTTATTACCAATAGCGGCAACGTACAGGACTGGGGGTTCCCCAAAACGCACATTAGCAAGAATGCAGTCCAAATAGTGATCATGGTAAAGCTATGATTCAAGTGTCTTATTTCCAAGTATTCTGTTATGGATTGCGGATAAGATAGTACACTTACCTATTCCACTAAAGGTTGCACGGTCAATTCTTGGCAGCGTCTTTTCAACATATACTTCAAACCCATGATATATGAAGTGAGAACCATGGAGATATATAATGGCATCATCTACGCCCCAGAATATACTTTAATACGAGAGTGATACTAAAGATTTTGTTAACTTTACAAGTAGCATAAATGTGCCTTTAGTTAATACGTAAAGTGTCACACTTATGGTGTAGGCATCAATAGATGGCATAGTGAAGGACAGCAGGTATGATACATAAAGATGTTGATGTAACTTGGCTGTTTGTTGATATATGCACAACACTATATAAACAAATTAATGAACCAGTAAGGACTAATTGAGAACATTGAATGTTTGTATTGTAAAATCTACAGGTCCAGTAGCATTACATCATACATTTAATAGGCTATTCTCAGGACAGCTATAATATACAGCGTATAATATTCCTAGTGGCTGAGGTCCAACTAATCATCAACATTCTGTGTTAAAAGGCTCTATAATTAGATCATCTGCACTCCCTGCCATTCAGTGACGACTGTAACATTATCGGTGTGGTTACTCTCCTGTCCGGTATGTCAAGTAAATTCTTCTGTCTACACTCAGTCCAAATCGCAGCTATTCTGAGGCAGGATCTCAGGCAGAGTCTAGGCAAAGTTATTCTTTGATGACGGAACATACGAACTCTAAAGTGGAGAGCAATAACTTAGATATTCAACAACCAAGCAGACACATTATGCTCATTACACACAAGCAATTTGTAATTAGATGATACCTCGCAACTCATGTAATGTATGAGAAACAATTCTGTAGCTTTTCAACAGTTGAGAATGAACAAACATTCCCTTACAATCCTGGAGCTCTGCTCCTGTGAAACCCTAACGAGGGAGTAGCGAGATGTGATCCTAAAGTGACACAAATCTTTCTTTACCTGTCCAATCATGTGGTCCCATTCTAATACCCACTGGAGTGACATAACTTGATACTGTCTTGAAATAGCACTGATTATCACCATAGTAGAAAGTTCTTATTATTGTAACATTAACATGAATTAAGAGTCTACAAACAGCTGGTAGCAAATGATATTTATATACACATATTTACTTAGCTATTGTGTACGGTTACTGATGAGCCACCATATAAGGTTTTACTAAATACAAAAGTACCACAGGGGTAGTGAACAACAAAAGAAACATTATGTAAATCTCTGGTTATATTTATTTCACCTGCACTACCACAAGACACTAAACTACAAATAACATTTTATTACTAGATTGAAAAGAAAAAACAAAACAAACAAACAGTTGGTATAACTAGGACAGGTATATAATTACCTTAAATTGCACCCGGTCATGTTTTTTTTTTATGAGATCAATTGCTCAGGTTAGTAAAAATGAATATGTTGTTGAACTTACCACTGTGTATGGATGTTGTGTTTTCCAAGGCGTGACAAGCAGCAAACAGAAATCCTAAAAGAGATTTAAAAACATATTAACACGTGTAAATTTGTTAACATTCTTGGTTTTATTGTCAAAGTAAAATAACCTAAAAGTAAAGAATATGTATAATGAGAATTAACAATTTGACAAATTACTAACAAAAACATCAAGGTTTATTTAAGAAACTGGGAATTGTGGAGAATAACATGGAAATAGCCAATTTTAGATCAAACTGATGGGTGCTGGTGGGGAAGGGATTAATAGCAGTTTGTGAATAATACCAGTTTTGATATTTTGATGTAAAATTTCTATTTATCTTGTCAATTCTCAACAGTCCTTAGTTTAGTGATTAAGGTGAACTCTAGAAACCATAACCACTTAATCTATTCGATGATGTTATGGTGCATGGACACCCTGGCGCTGTTCCACGGTTTACTGTTAAACCACTATCAGCTTATCTCAGCTGCCCATTTCTACTATTGGTATGGCTAGGGCAGAGTGCAACTGGGGCTGTGGTGTAGGCAGAAACAGTTTAACACTGATTAGTGAACTAGTGCCAGGGCACTCCAGGCACCTTAACCACTATAGAAAGTGGTTATGGTGCCTAGCGTGTACCTTTAAATCCCTATGTGCTCATAACCAATTTGAAACTCAACCATCAACTCACTGGTTTAGTTATTAAAATAAATCACCATGCATGGGATTTTTCAATCAAACATGTCCTTTACTTGCACACTGAAAATTGTTTCCATAATGAATTTCACAGAATGCTCATCGTCATGTTTGGCCTAAAATCACAAAGAGGTCAACTAGGAACTAATGATCTTTTAAAAGGGAGTTTTTTCTCTCCTGAGAATTTTAGAACTGTTTATGTACCTTTGCCCCAGCACCAAAATATGTCTCATAAATTCTTTAAGCATTTGTAAACGTCTGACATATGTTAAATATGCAACGACCAATTTAAAACTAGAGTACAACATAGTCATTACTCCACGTTTAATAGTGTATAAAGTTCAGAAAAAAGAAATGTCTTTCGGATTTCTAATATATTTTACGTCTCAGAATTGACCCATTAGAGGCTCTACACTGATTGGATGTGATGAAAATTATTGACTTTACCTAAAGCAATATAGCCTCTATTCACAGAGCTCTAGGTTTTATAGCCACACTTCAGAGATTGCACAATTGTGCCAGGGTACACATGGCATTTAGGAGCTTCTGCCGTCAATTTCCACCGATGTCGCTAGCAACAGCTTGGAGAATCAGACAATATCTCATTCATTGTGAGACATTATCTCGCAGGATTCTCAACTGATCAGTGTTGCACTCTTATCTGGAAGGTAAAGCCCCAAGAGCTGAATAAACGGGATGGCAGCACCTGTATTGAACAGTTTTAAGTTAATATAACATACTTCTGCTGCACTCCTGGGTTACTGTACATCAAGCAGTAAAGGCACAATCAGAAGACTTTGCAAAATATGCACAGAACCCCGAAACGGACAATTCTTTAAAGCAGTGAGCATCTTCAGAAACATAGCTCAAACATTACAACCACTGTATAAGATTGTGAGCAGGGAATGGTTGCAGAACACTAGGTAGGGACTTACAGCTCAATGTGGAAAACTGCAAGTGCAAGCTGAGATCAAACTAAGTCAGACTCTCTCGGTAAGCTTTCCTAGAGAACAATATTCCTTGATATAGAAGAGCAGTCAAGATGAATTGGGCAAATTGAGTTGGGTTTAATGTATTGTGTATGTATCATCTGTTTGAGTAAATGTACAGGTTTAAATGGTTACACCAACTACCATGACCTTGTCTGCTTTTTGAAGTGGTTATGTAACCGAATAAACTTGCAGAAGCCAGACACAGAGAGAAGGATGCAGGTTTTCAGGAAGTAAGAGGTCTTTATTAACATACCGATCGGGCCTCAGATGAACTAACATTCCAAAACAGGTCTGAGGGACAAACACATCAAGTACATGCTTTTTATATAACTATAACTCCTCCCATTAATAGCTCCACATACCCTTAACCAATCAGTGGACAGGATTTGGATTTCCTCATATGGGCAGACCACATGGCTCATCCGAAACAAAGGAGAAAGGAGTGTAATTTCAGTTCCTGCATTCCTGCACATGCTCAGTACATTGATGACAGTATCTTAGCTACGTGTAACTAACTAACTGATACAACATACACGTATGCCACGTGGAAATCTCGGCCTACTAAATTTACATTTCACCGAAATTCCATCACATTCCCCCCTTTGATACCTCTGATACAAAATTATTCCAGATGCATCACCAATCATAGTTTACCAACACCTCTCAAGTAGCCATTGGACCAGAGCAGACCTTGTAAGCATCTTAGCATCATCACAAACTCCTTCAGCATTCTTCATCCTGAATATGTTCTCTTTGGGCTAGGGATTCATATCTATAGACAGCCATTACATGAGCAGCTGTCTTTTTTTCTATAGTACTCTCTATGATATTACGTATAGATCTGACCACTAATGGAATTAGGGAGGGCAGAAAGAGACATAAGAATATAATAAATACTACTCCTCCTACTAACGCCTTAATCCCTCCAAGCTGCTCATACAAACTTCCAAACCAACTACTAGGATTATACCCACTCCAGACCTGAGTAGGTACATGCATCAGTTTAACCATGTGGCTTGTAAGTTCAGCCACTGCCCGCCCTTCATCATCTATGTGCAAACAACAGTTGCTAAGATTAAACTTTCCGCATACACCTCCCTCTACTGCTAATAGGTAGTCCAGAGCTAATCTATTTTGATAGATGGCTGATCTCATCCGAGTATTTTGCTTAGCTAGAAGATTAAGTGCTTGAGCTGTCTCATTAGTGATAATCTCAACCACCGCCTGTAGTCTTATAATACAGTTGAGCATATATATTGGGGTTCTATATCCATAGGTACCATCTTCTGCCCAAGTATCAGGTCCATAATATTTAATAATGCGTTGGGGAAGCCACTCATCTTCCCAGCTACCTATATTCAAGGATGCTCGCTTGTTTTTATGATTTACATCATAAACCTTAAAGGACCAATCTAGGCACCCAGACCACTTCAGCTTAATGAAGTGGTCTGGGTGCCAGGTCCAGCTAGGGTTAACCCATTTTTTCATAAAAAATGTTTATGAATGGGTTAAGCCTTCCCCCTAATCCTCTAGTGGCTGTCTCATTGACAGCCACTAGAGGCGCTTGCGTGCTTCTCACTGTGATTTTCACAGTGAGAGCACGCAAGCGTCCATAGGAAAGCATTATGAATGCTTTCCTATGTGACCGGCTGAATGCGCGCGCAGCTCTTGACGCGCATGCGCATTCAGCCGACGGGGAGGAACAGAGGAGGATCGGAGGAGGAGAGCTCTCCGCCCAGCGCTGGAAAAAGGTAAGATTTAACCCCTTTCCCCTTTCCAGAGCCGGGCGGGAGGGGGACACTGAGGGTGGGGGCACCCTCAGGGCACTATAGTGCCAGGAAAACCAGTATGTTTTCCTGGCACTATAGTGGTCCTTTAACTCCCAAGGTCTCTCCTGTCTCAATTGGCAACAGGAAGAAGGATGGTTTGAGCATACCCAATACACATGCCCCTTCCCAATCTTGTGGTAACTCTGAATATGCTTTCTTACCACAGATCCAATATAAATTCGCTGGGGCTTTCCAATTGAATGTAGCAGATAAGTCAAACCATACCTCTTTTAAATGGGTGTAATTGGCAAACGGATTAGTAGGCTCTGAGACATTTGAAGCTGACCACCAAGTAGTATCTTTAGTCTCGGCATTATAGGCTTTCTGTCCTAGACATATTAACTCGCCAACAGGTGTGGTATACAATGGCCCTTTCCTGGCTAAACATACATGACCTATAATGGAGGTTTTTAACCGCCACTCTGATTTACCTCTAGTACTCACTTGATGATGAGACTGAGAAAGTATTTGTTGTTCATCTGTCTCAGAAGCAGGGTACCATACTTCCTTTCCCTCCCATGGCCACTGGTCTCCCATATTAGTACCTCCACATACAAAGCAATTAGTTACATTAAGACTACCCGCAATACTCTCAGCCAAATCAATAAATAGGTTCTTAACATTATGGGGAATTTTATCCTCAACACTCATCTCCTCATAGAAGGAATGAAAAACCTGATGAGTTTGAGTTGCTATCGTCTCAGTTTCAAGTCCTACATATATTATGGTCCCTGAGTCTACTCCTGTGCCATATATTTGGAACCCAAATAGATTTCCAAACTAATCAATAAAATGTTGTGGATTAGAGGTGGTCATATGGACAGGATTACATTCCATAGACAGGGCAACCTTTGGATAATCATATCTTGATCCACTGTTTTTCCCCAGGTTGCCCACCCGCAAATCACAAGACCAATATGGACAAAAATTTTAATCCCTATTTGGGCAATCAGGATCAGTAGATCTCTTACTGGTACATAAATATTTATCATTAAACCGATAAGTTCGTTCCCATTTAAGATTACCACATACATTCCAAGGTTTTCCACTACCAGAGATCGCCTTACATGAATCAAATAGTAGAATGCCCGTAGAAAGTAAGGTATTTATCACAGTCCTATTTATAAAGGTCCCCTGGGAGCTACTATTCCGAATTACCAACCAAATTGTACGGGGTTGGAGTTGGGGATGAAAACATTTAGGCTCTCCTGATATTGGTTTGCACACACTGTAATCTATATGTAAATATCTACACTTAGATACAGATCCCCTACACTCATACTGTGAGTGCCAAATGAGAGTTTGGGATATTTGGTTACCTGTTTTTGTAGTCTTAATGCAGCTAACACAACTCTGCATGTCCCCACCTTTACCTTCCTGAAAAATCACAAAAATGCCTAAACACATAATATAACATTATTTCAAAAGTCCTCATTTCTACTCTTCGACCGCGCGACGTCACCTCAGCTTCCCGATTGTGAGGGCTGCATGGATTGTTGTTCTTCTGATTCTCACTTTTCTTCACAGAGGTCCCTTCGAGACACTCTGGCAATGACATGTAGGTAGGTGGTCAGGCTTTGTTATGGCTGTCAAAACACCTACTTGCTGATTTCTGTTGTTACTTTCAACTAAGATGTCCCAATATCTCCTCGTGTTATTTCTCACTCCGACTGAGCTACCCGCTTTAACCGGATCTTGCAAGGATTTTCAGAATCTGGAATAGCTTGCCAAGAATCTGCCGCTGGTTTAACCCTAGAATGATGAATCCATTGAGTCACTTCTGCCACCTTTACAGCTGTTGGAGTAGATAAAAGAACAAAATAAGCACCCCTCCACTTTGGACCTAATGGAACAATATTCCATTCTTTTATCCACACGATCTCCCGGTTGATAGGAATGAACAGGTGGATATATGTTCACAGATAACCTATCTTGCACCCATTTCTGTACTTACTCCATAGTTTTACCCAACTCTACAACCTGCTGCCAAGTACTTCCTTCACCCAACTGATTCAAGTCCCCCCTTAGAGTATGGGAGGTGGACGCCCATACACGATTTCAAAGGGAGACAGACCCATTCTTCTGGTAGGAGTACTATGTATCCGCAACAGAGCTATTGGCAAAAGGACATTCCACTTGAGCTGAGTTTCCTGACACATTTTAGCCAACTGGGTTTTTATTGTTCTGTTCATCCTTTCCACCTTTGCAGAACTCTGAGGTCTACATGCTGTATGAAGTTTCCACTTAATACCAAGCACATGAGTCAATTGTTGTAAACACTGATGGATAAAGGCTGGACCATTGTCTGATCCGATAGAACACGGAAGTCCATATCTGGGTATAACTTCTCGCAACAGAAATCATACAACTTCTCCTGCCTTTTCTGTACAAGTTGGACAAGCTCCTACCCAACCTGAGTAGGTACACACAGCTACCAACAAGTAACGATATCCCCCAAATTTAGGCATTACAGTGTAGTCTATTTGCAAATCTGACATTGGGAGTCCTCCAAGGGGTTTGACAGGGCCTTGTCTTGCATTGTTTCGAGCAAACAAAACACATCTTCGAACAAAAGTTTGAGTAAGATTGGATAATCTTGGTATGTAGCAATGTTTCCTGAGAGATTCTTCCATACTATCTCTTCCTGAATGTATACCATTATGGAAGTTCTGAACAATATCTATTGCCAGAGATGTCGGAATAACTATTCTTCAATCTTCTAACTGATACCAATTATTCTCCAAGTATTTCACAGCTTCAGTCTTCAACCAATCCATCTCTTGGGTTCTATATATCGGAGTCCATTGAGACAGAGGTGCCGGCACAAGGGCAGCAACATACCCCACATATTCCTCTTGCCCGGATTCAGCAGCATGTTTTGCTGCACTATCGGCCACGCAATTTCCTTTTACTACATCACTATTACCTTTCAGATGTGCCCTGCAATGTATAATACAGACTTCCTTCGGTTCCCATACCGCCTCTAACAGTTGGAGTATTTATGCTTCATACTTGATTTCTTTCCCTTCTGAATTCAACAATCCCCTTTCTTTATACAATACTCCATGGGCATGGGTGGTTAGAAAAGCGTATTTTGAATCTGTGTAAATATTCACTCTCAACCCTTCAGCTAATTGCAAGGCCCTTGTTAATGCAATCAGATCCGCCTTCTGTGCTGATGTCCCTTTCGAAAGTGGCCATGCTTCTATCACCTTGTCTATAGTTGTTACCGCATACCCTGCATAACGTATACCTTCTTTCACATAACTACTACCATCTGTATAATACTGTATGTCTGGATTCTGGATGGGGAAATCATGAAGATCAGGCCTGCTTGAAAACACTTTATCCATTACCTCCAAACAATCATGTTTACTTTCAGTAGTCTGGGGCAGAAGGATAGCTGGATTCAAATTATTGACAGTTTCGAGGTTTACTCATGGATTTTCACATAACATAGCTTGATATTTGGTAATTCGACTGTTGCTAAACCAATGATTTCCTTTGTAATCCAATAGGGTCTGTACTGCATGAGGTACTCGCACATAGAGTTCCTGACCCAATGTGAGCTTGTCAGCTTCTGCTACCAACAGGGCAGTGGCGGTCGCTGCTCGCAGACAAGGTGGAAGACCACTGGCCACTGCATCCAACTGTTTGGATATATAAGCTACAGGTCTTTGCCATGATCCCAAATACTGAGTTAATGGACATCCCTACAAATCCCTCTAACTTTTGCAATTTTCTTTTAATATCACCTTGGGCCTGGCTGACAAATGCTGAGTTAATCATTTGAGAATTCTCAGGGGTCTCTGGATTAAGAGGATTATACAATTTATATGACTCCAATAATCTTTCATAAAAGGCACTAGGTGACTTATCAAAATTTTGCAACACCTCAACCGTCTTTGACATATTGATTACCTTCTTCCCTCCTGCCTTCATGCCAGCAATAATGGCTTCCCGATAAGCCCTTAATTGGGGCATGTCAGCACCATTCACATTCCAATTTGGGTCACATTTGGATAATGGGCTGCAGCCCCTGCAGCTGGATTGGCCTGATTTTGAGTACGTGCAGTTTCCTCAAGCGCTTTAATAGCCGCTTGAGTAATCCGGGTCCTTTCCTCACAATTAAATAAAGTTAATAATAATTGCTGGCAATCGGCCCAGGTGGGATTGTGAGTTTGTATAATAGAGGTAACCAAATCTGTCATGACTTGAGGTTTGTCGGTATACGAAGAGTTATGAGTCTTCCAATTAAATAGATCAGTTGTGGTGAAGGGGACATAGACAAACACTGGATCTGCCCATTGTATTTGGCCATTTTCATCAACGTGTGTTGGGCCTGGTGTAAGTCGGAGGGGCATTTGGTAATGTCGGGGTTGAAGGGTACCAGTCATCTGTCGGGTTAATATAGGACTTCGGCAAGGCTGTTTTATAGTAAGTTCCGGTCTAGGGGTAGTAAGGTAAGGAGAATGAGGCGGGTTAATTTTACCAGGCGGAAGTTCAGTCAACAGGATGTTGCGGGCTGGGAGGAGCCTGACCAGGAACCAGAAGTGACGTTAATTCCGGATATATAGAACTAGTGGAGGTAGGTACTGGAAGGGGAGGACTCAGGGCAAGTAGGCTGGGCCCTAAACTAGATGAATGAGTGGGCAGGGACAATGGGAAAGGGGGAGTGGCAACACCAGCAGCACCTCCTCTAACCTTAGAGGAGGAGTAAGGGGGTGGGGAGGGAAGTTCAGACTCAGGGGGAGAGTCTAAAATGGGCTGGGTTGCGGCCCTGATGGACAGGCAAGTCCTGGCCACCATGAGGCGACATTGCTCCTCGTGGCATACCTTAATCCATTTAGGCAATTCTTCCACAATCTGTTTCCAACAATCAATATACGGAAACTGATCATAGAATTCAGGCCTACTAGATACAGCCGCGTGCACACGCTGTACCAGAATTAGATCAAGACTACCACGTGGAGGCCATGCGGTCACCAAGATAGGCCACTCTCTAATACATAATGTAGTCAAACGCTTTGGGGATAATTTCACCCCAAAATCACAAACTTCATATCCCTTTGCAAAGTTTTTCAACATACACGACAAGGGATCAACAATCTTTGAGTCAGACGCACCCATACTGGCAACGGAGCGTCTAATACAAAGAAACACAATACCCCAAACACACTTCCAACGATCACACTTGTTTCCCTGGCAACAGCACCACGTGGCACAGTTGCTAGGCCAAACACACACACGAAAACACGCAGAGAATTCTTGTACATACAGTGATATCACGACGTCTCACTCACAAAGATTTACCAAACATTAGATACTTGTCCCTGTAACTATAAATCAAACCCTACAATTATCCACATTATAAATCAACTTTTAACTAACCGACTACATCCCATTCTAGTAGCCTTATCTTTACAATCAGTGGTTATGGTACGGTTAGCAAGTGGTTATAATGCAGTTTTAAAGTCACAGATCAGTAACAGTTATGGTGTTACACATATAACATAAGACAACAGTTTTTAGTAATTTTTACACAACGTCAGTAGTTATAGTACATGTTAATGGTTATAATACCGTGCGCTATTATACAGTATACATACAATTTACACTCCCACTAGACGGCAGAGCTCAAGCTTTCTAGCAGGACATACAATTCCCCAACTACAGTATATTTAAAAACATTTACAATAATCCCAACTATTTTAATTGGCCAGGACCTCGAGAACTATCAAACTATTTACACCAGGATTCGGTTAGTCTACGCTGCCCAAGCACCACATATAGCGAACTAGTGGGCGGAATTTACAACAGTACCCATTTAGTCTATCTACTCTATCAATAGTCTAGTGGCTGAATTTACAAACATGCACACTTAGCCAAGATAGGTTGAGAACTAGCAGACGGACTGTACACCAAAATCTGCTTAGTCTCGCCGGCCTCCCCGACCTAGCGACTGAAATTTACACCTACACACGCTAGTCAAGACAGGACACTGGTGTCCGGCATAAACTATTTACACCAAGATTTAGCCTGACCCAAACCACCTATATTAGACGGGCTGACTACAGAACGTCTAATTTATAGATAAGCGGTGCGCCTTCGCTTCTTCCCTCCAGAGGGAGGGGCAATCCAATAACGGTTCCAAATATAAAACCACTTCTGGGCCTACCGCTCTAACGGTATCAGTCTTACCTCTTTGTTCCTGAACCCGGGCTCACACTCATCGACGGGGCACCCCGGTACTTACTATGTAAAGGCCGATGATCTCCTGGGTGAAGCAGACCAGTGGCACCGAGATGAAGGGATGTGCACGCAGAAGTTCAGGGGTGCTGCCGTAGAGAACGTTGGTAAAAAGGTTTACCATCTCAAATCTCTGCGCCAGCTTCCGTGCGATGAGGTTCCCGACCAATGCACCAATGATGTAACCGAGTAAACTTGCAGAAGCCAGACACAGAGAGATGGATGCAGGTTTTCAGGAAGTAAGAGGTCTTTATTAACATACCGATCGGGCCTCAGATGAACTAACGTTCCAAAACAGGTCTGAGGGACAAACACATCAAGTACATGCTTTTTATATAACTATAACTCCTCCCATTAATAGCTCCACCCGCACATACCCTTAACCAATCAGTGGACAGGATTTGGATTTCCTTATATGGGCAGACCACATGGCTCATCCGAAACAAAGGAATTTCAGTTCCTGCATTCCTGCACATACTCAGTACATTGATGACAGTATCTTAGCTACGTGTAACTAACTAACTGATACAAGATACACATATGCCATGTGGAAATCTCGGCCTACTAAATTTACATTTCACCGAAATTCCATCACATTTATGGTGGTAGGAATTTGTAAGTGTAACGTTTCTGCTTGAAATGCTGCACATCCAGAGATATTTGCACTCTACTGCCAAGGGTTAGTTACACCCTCAGCACATGACTTAGGCAGCCTGGAAAAATACTTCTGTTGTCAGCGGGGACAGTGCTTGGTTTCCCTTTCTTCTTTGCCATCTCCCCAGTCTTCCCCACCTCCTTAGGATTTGAAAAAAAAAATTTCAATACTTAAATAAAGCTCTCCCGTCCTCTTCCCTCCCTGTCCATCCTTCTCTCACTTCACCAGCTCCAACCAAGCGCACAGAGCCATTGAGTAAAGCCTAATCAATTGCTTCTCTGTGAGAAGCATTCGATTGAACTGCACCAGGGAGGGTCTGACATCAGATGAGGCATGGAGATGAGTGCTGGGAGTTTCATTGGTGCTGGATTCCAGGTAAGTCTATAGCTTAATTTTCTGCCTTATAACAGAGGGACTGTTAATAAGCCATTTCTAAATGAAAATCACAGAAGTAGCAAAACGGATTGGATTTATTAAATTAATTATTCAGCAATTGCTATAGTTTCCATAGTAGAAATTTCACATTTACGTTTAGATTTATTTTAGTAAGCGACCAACTAAATGGAAACTCTGATGGCCTAATAACTGATTATTACATTTACAGGAATGTATTAGCCTTTTCATTGCTAGGTGTCAAAAACACCACACTCAGAAATACGCATAAGTAGTACATACATTATGAGCAGTGGTTCCGAAATGAGCCTACCAGCACGGTCAAATGTAACCACCACCACTCTGCTCCTGCTCTTCAATCTAGCCACCAAAAAATAAGTAATGTGAGGTATCGAACTTCAGCCAAAAGAGGATACAATAATCTGAGAGCCACTGTTTCAAAGGGTGAGAAAGTGTCAGGGATATTCAAGAATTTTAAAGAGAAATTAAAAATATAATAAATCTGTATTATTCTTACAATTCCCCCACACCCCCAAAAAAAAAAAAAAATATATATATATATATATATATATATATATATATATATATATATATATATATATATATATATATAGTACAGTTTAAAAATACATATTAAATAGTTTTATGCCGATTTTCATTACATTCAAGAATCAAAAGTTAAAGTGTGAGAAATTCTGTGAATAATACAATGTCATGAATTAATGCGGCTATTAAAACCAGAATAGAACGCTTACACTCACTATGGGAGAGATGACCTGCTCTCCAGAAATAAATAATTTTGACAAATGTGTTTTAAGACATCAGTCACTATTGAATTTATTAGCGGAGATCAAAATAAATCACAGATCCTTTAAATCTATGAATTATAATAGGTATATAGCGCCAACATATTCTGCAGGTCTGTACTGTGGGAATATGCACAAAGGAGATAAATAAATTACTCCAAAAAAGTCAAGAAAAAAAAAAACAGATGAGGAGGGCATGGCATAAATGGGCATGTAACATAGACAATCTAAGAACAGAACTAAATTGAAGTTGGAAACTGTAAGCCAAAATAGCAATGCAGGAAAAAATCCTTAACTCTCATATTTTAATATTTTTAATATATTAATTTAATATATTTCTATTTTAATATTTTGCATCTTAATTGTCAATGCACCACAACCAATTGCTAAGAAAGTAAACCCGCATAGATTATTAGTTCCCAGCATTCCATCCCAGAGTTTGAAGTCAGATGAGGACAATACTAATATTTTTTTTTTTTAAAGGATTGCTTATCTTCCAGACACAAAGGCAGTGGTTTGATCCCACTCCAAGACATCTGAATGTTTCCCCTAGAGGTGAAGAAAATTCCCGTGTAGCAGTTTGAACCAATTTTAATTTGAAGGGAAGCAATCATTAGGTTTATAAATTACCTTCTTCCTCTTTAAACAGTCTTAAAGAGGTGTCAGTTTGCTTACAGCTATAAATATTCCAGTATATTGTCACAAACTGCTTATGTTTTAACCTTTAGGCTTTTTAGTGTCTTTTTAAAAGATGGGTTACTACAACTGTATACAGTAGCATCTTCTTTAGTTTTGTTTTTTTATTTAGAAGCATGGAATTCTACAAAATGATCATCATTTGATAGCAGATCCATTAGTTGGTAAATAAAAATGCAGAATGCATGCCAAACTAGCCAAATTGCAAATTACCTATTTCAAGTGCTGATGTTCCCTCGGCGCTGATTAGAAGCCCGCCTCCTACAAAGTCATGGAGGGGGCATGGCCTCCTTCATCGATGTCCAATCTAATGCTCTTAAATGGGGGCCTAATGTGTTCACATGCACATTCAAATTTCACCATAGGAAAGCACTGAATCAATGCTTTCCTGTGGGTGCTTATGTGTCACGTGACCAAGTTTTAATCTGTCAGTGTAATTTCTGCAATATTTTACATGGCATTGTGTGACATGTCATGATTCCCTTGTATTCCAAAAGTTTGGTCCTTAAGGGGTTAAAGAGCTTGTGTGAATTCTAGACTGACGTTACAGACCCTCCCAATCTAGTCATAGTAGTAAGCCACATAAATTCCATTTTAAAGTACACACCTACATAATATCAATGGTTTCCACACCATGCCCAAAACTGAAATATTTAGAAAGTAGTTTTTTTTTCAGTAACTGGGGAGAAACACGTAGATTTGACTATCACATTTCCCTTTCTGTTGCCTACTACAGCATGCAAAGGAAAATTATTACCTACAGCAAATGGCGTTTCTCACATCTCCACGTGTGTCTAATCGTGGAAACTTCTACGAGTTTGTGAATGTTAAAAAAACATGCTTCACAAATGAATGTTATATTTCGCATATAATTTAAGTTTTCCTAAAAGCTTCTGAAAGGTTGTAGATTATTATTTTTATTTTTTAAGCGTTTGATGGTTTTTAAACATTATATCAGGAAGTGAAAAACAGCTTGATAAGTGAATCTCAAACTGAGCTGTGAAAACTGGAAAAAGGGATGTTTGTTTGTCTTATCAAATGATCAGATTCCTTTACCTTTGGCCTACACTTTGTTACCTACATATTTCAGACATTTTATATTTCCATAGAGAAACAAACTTTTTTATTAGCGCTTAACAGTTTTATCAAATATAACAGGAACAATACAAAAAGGTACCATAAGTAAAAAAAAAAAATAGCTGGTACAGTGGCTGAGGAAATTCTATGAATAAGTCTAAGCATGGTTTGTGAAAAATTAGATATTTAACTGAACTGTTAAAAGACCAAGATTAGGGGTTTTTGCTAAGCTTGTACCAAATACATAATTAGAAGTACACACTAAGCACTATAACCAATACAGTGTGTTGTAGTGGTTATGGTGTCTGGAATGTTCCTTTAATCAAAGCAATTTATTTTTGACGCTAGCAAAAAAAAGGTTGCGAATAAAGACCAAAAATAATATTTTTCATATCTTAGGGGAACATTTAGAGGGTTAGGGGGAGCACTCATTCATTAACCAAGGTATATTCATGTTCTTGATGTATTATTAGAGTTTTATTTACTACAATAATATAATAATATAATTCCAAATACTTTTTTTATATTGTAAAAATAAATAAGTCACCTGTCTGAATCCTTGCCAGTATTCTTTGTGCTTAGGAGATACTGACACAGTTTAAGGGAGCTATGAGGCAGTATATTGCTTAAAGGGACACTCCACTACCCAAATACAAAACAAACAAAACTCATTGTTGTATAGATATACCCCAAATGAAAATATGCATGCATTGAAAAATGCATTTTTGTATTAGAATTTGAATCTAAAAACAGCTTTTAAAACCTGAAGATCTCCTGTCTACAGCCTTTGCAAGCCCTCCCCTTCTAATTCCGCCCAGACTGTCTTTGGCTGTCCAATCACAGACTCCCAAGTGAAACTCATTGAGAAGTTTTTTCAGGTGCAGGTGCTCTTGGCAACTGCTGCCTCTTGAGTTCAGTGCAAATAAGCTAACCAAACCAGGAAGTAACAGGATTTGTTGTCTGCTAGAAAAGCCAGAGGTGTATGACCATTATAATTTCACCTTTTGCAATATAAAAAAACCCCCCAAAAAACAGGCCAACAACCTAATTAAGAGTTGATTAACTCCAGGTCACTGTTTCTTTAAATCCAGAATTATGTCAGCTGTACAGAGTAGTTTCCAGGTGTGCTGAGAGTGCATGTTTGTAATTGGCATTTATAAAATGATCTGTCTAACAAGTTCGACAGATAACATTCCATTGCTCTGTTCTGATGTATCTTCCAAGGTAGTAATTAAGAGACCAATTCTCGCATGTTGATCCATAGCATTAATTGTGAGATCATAACTGGTGTCAGACAAAGTTCTCAGATTGTATGACATTAAAAAGTACAAAAATCCTCAATAATAATGACCCCAAAACAAAATCTAACACCAAATAAGTGATCCAAGGAAAACTAATTTTATTATAATTGGACTGTGATTCTTCCATAGAGTGCAACTTTAAATTCTGATGTAAAACACTAATAAAGGTTATCTAAGGCATCTGAAGTCCACTTTAAAATGGAAGAGAATAATCCAACTCAGATTAACAGGTTGTAAATTAGGAATAATGTTCAAATTCAGAAGGGCTAATCCAAATTTGAGATTATAATTTCTGGTGTAAAAATAGTAAAGCCAAGCAATAAAATTGTAGGTAAAATGATAAATGTACTGCATTTCCAATGTAGGAAGTGACACTTCTATTTTTGAATGCAACACTTAGATAACACAAAAAAAAAATAAAATAAAAAAAAACTTTAAATGATAAAAGGTACATTTTGTAATTTACTAAAACTGGGCCGGCCGTCAAAGCCACCAATCAAGAGCCTTCTCATTCTGCTCTACAAGTTTCTTTTCTTTACCCGTATTTTTTTTGTTACAGTGCCCTCTGATTGTAACAAAGAACTGTGCCACCGAGATCCCCATCCCCTCACCCCATTAGACCACCTAGCAACACACATCCACACTGCTTTGAAATGCCTGAGAACTCTTACTTTTCCCTATCCTACTTATAGGTCAACCAAAAAAGGCCTGTAGTGCTACTTCCTCCCAACACTTGTCATTCTAGTTATTGGTAAGAATGAAAAACAGGGATTTTAACTGGATACCTTTGTTAAATGAGTTATAACTGTAAAAAAAACTCAAAAAAAACAAACAAAAAAAAACCTGCTAGGGTTTAAAAATTCAGATATTTATAGAGACATACACTGCTTGCAGGTATAAAAACTGGATGGTCACTAAAATAAGGACTGTCACCAATTCTGATTTGGACAGTCTGTATCCCTCCAGCTATGGTTTATCTCCCATTGTCCTCAGGCTCTACAAGACCATTTCTTGTTTCATGTAACTGTAATTTAGTGGCAGATTTCTTGTATCCCAATTATTAAGCAAAAATTTAACATACCTTGAGGATTTCATTTTAATACAGCCCTGTGGAGCATAGAACAGTATTTGACCTGTGGACAACTTACCACTTCTCCCACTGCACTACAGAACTTATAGATGCTAAATAGTCCATTAATAGAAGGAGGAATCCTAGTCGGTCAATTACTTTGTATAGTACAATTCTAAAAATGTCTGTTTCAAATGTATAACATCAGAGTCTATGAACTGACCCTTTATAAGGGACCATAATGTACAGCACACCTATTAGTGTGTAGGGGTTACTGTATATGGGTCTTAATGGTGTCACCTATACTTTATGAGCACCTATTCTAATGTGCTCTGAGGTGTGGAGCCTGAAGGTGGAATTTTTCTGAATCTAGACAGCTCACGCCCACCCTGGTGACTCAAACCGGCACACACCATCTCATGCTCTCATTCCCAAAGAGGGGCGTTGTCTCTATATCAGATTCTCCCTCCTCCCCTCCTGTCAGACACGTGCTGGATAGCAAGAGAGACCTGTAAGTGGTTCATAGCTTTCTGTCACAGGAATGCAGGGTAATAAGTGCATGCATACACAAATAAAATGTCATCACCCACTAGCAATGTTAATAACTAAACATGTGTTTGTTAAACCTTGTGCTGTCAGATGGGTCATCACTCTACTATGGTCAGGTGTTGTATGGCTAATTGTATGGCTGCACGAGCCTATAATGGGTAAATTATACGTTTAAGTTTTATTTATTTTCTTTTGCAATTTTCCCCATGGTATTAGATGCGGTTTGGTGAAAGCAGAAAAAACAGACAGCACAGTGGAAGTCTGGAAAGGTTAAAGTTGTTACAGCAAAGAGATGGCCTTTAAAATAGACACCCGACTATGACAGCCTTCCTATAATCAGGATGAGTATCTCCGCCATGCATCCCTTCTCTTCTGGGACAGAGTAACCAAAGTGATTAGAGCTCATCCCAAACATCAGCCAAGGCTTGATGAAGGGGAACAAAAAGAAATAATTCATTTATCACATATATGAATAAAATGTACTTAACTGAATAAGGACAAAATAGCTTCCCTAGAGGTCTTTCCCACTAAGACCTTGATGAAGGGAAAAAAAAGGGCTATCTTTATCGTAAAACACACGGGGGTCATTCAAAAACAATGTATTGCACAATCTGGCACCTTGGCGTCTGGGACATAACTCCGGACAAGATAACTTTATTAACTACCAGACACCAGGGCGCCCAACAATAATAACCCCAAAACTATGAATACCCCTACAGTTAACGCCAAGTGTCTTACATCACCGCATAGCTCTGATCAAGGGGTACACACAGTGTGAAAAGCGCTTGTATCAGAGAGGTCTTGCCCGAGTAATCACAGGTTAAAGTTTAATGTGGATGCAACCATTCTCTGATCCGATTTAGCGTTCCAGCTGATTTATGGGTAAGTTCTGGTCTCTGAGAATTGCTTATTGGAGCCCTAAAGAAGGGAGCTTCAAAGTCCTTGGTGTCGCTGTGACAGTGCAGCAGTGGCTACTGGAGGTATCCCTAGGGGAGCAATGTAAACACTGCTTTTTCTCTGCAAAGTCCGTGTTTACATCTAGATACCTAAATGAATATACTCACCAGAACAACTACATTAAGCTGTAGTTGTTCTGATGACTATAGAGTCCTTTAAATACACGGCACATCTATAGAGGAAATAAAAAGTTTGTATTTGAATATCATTCCTTCAAACTAGAACTATATGCTGCCGATGGGAGACAAACTGGATGAATCTAAAACTAGCGTGCCAGCATTCCAATAGAATGCTGGCTTCAGAAATATTGATAAACATCTATCAGTTTAGTCAATAGATATCTATGCCAACACCTAAAGAAGTTAGCTCATCACTGCTCTACAAGCTTACAGGTTGAGTTATATGATCAGCTATTATATATGTTCAACAATAAATATGCTCATTTATTATACAGTCACTAGAGGAGTTTGACTCCGTGAAATGGAGCATGAGGACATCCAGTGTCAGAGAAAACCCCATAGGAAAGCATTAAGGCAATGGGGATGGCCTAATGTGCATACGACACTCGTCGCCTATGTGCGTTAGGTGTACCACAATAGAATGTGTGGAATCAGGTATGTGAATAAAGTGCTATTTAACCCTTTACAACGTTAGCAGGGATCTGGAATACATCTTTGTATTCCTAACACTAAAGTGTTCCATTAACTTATCTGTGTGTAGAAAATATAAATAGGATTTCTGGATGCAGTTCTTAAATAAATAATATTTCATCAGGAATGCAAACATATTACTAACACTAGTGTTAAAATGGCTATTTAGGCAGTGGCATAACAACCACGGCTGCAGGGGTCAAAGTGGCGACCTTGCTTGTCACTCCAGGGGGCCTGGCCGCCTCTGCAACCACTGTGACCGTGGGCCACCTGCATACTTTCAGGGCTGGTGCACTGCCGCACTGGCCTGGGGCTTGCAGTCCCGGCAGGGGGGGAGCGATGGGCTGTACTGCTCCCCTCCAGACCTGCGTTTAGCGAGACCAAGTGGGGAGGAAATGAGACACATTGAGGGGCTGGGGGAGGGGGGGGATGAGACACAGAGGGAGGGTATCAGACACATGGGAAGGGAATGAGACAAATGAAGAGGCTTGGGGGAGGGAAAGAGATGGATGGGCTGGGGAGGAGGTAATGAGGCACATTGAGGGATTGTCGCACCGGGGCCTGGTGGAGGCTTCTAGTTACGCCTCTCTATTTAGGTGTCCGGCTGCCCATCTGTGGAAAAATAAGGTATTCAAACTCACCTTTTCTCCCACGCGTGCTGGTAGTCAGTGGAATATCCCATGTGACTGCTTCACTTATAAAATATTGTTACAGGATTGCTTATCTTAAAGCAGCATGGGGCTTATGAATAAACAAGTTGAAATTGATAAAAATAAGATCTCTGTACAAAACTATTAGTCACAGGATGATCACAGAGTGGGTGTCATGTATATGTGGGGTAGGGAATGCATGAGATGTTTAATAGATCTGGCTTCATATATATATATTGATATTTCTTTTTTATTCAAGCCACCTATTTAAACCGTTCGTAAAAAAACCCTACTTGTGTCACTGCTTTAAAGAGAAAAGACTACGGCTGCCAATATGAAACATCCAGCTTCTACTATTTGGAACATATTGCACAGCTTGAGCTAAATTCTCTTGTGGTCTTTTCTTTTGACTGAATACCTGTTGTGAATAATATATTTTGCGCTGTTCACTCACTTTCATAGTTCCGTATCAGCTCAATGGAAACCTTCCACCACATCATTCTACTCCCCAATTAGTGGCAGATTGCGGACGAGAAATACAGGGTGGGCCAAAATTCACAGTAGGATTGAACAGGTAAATAACTTATTTATTTAATTTTTTTGTTGTTTTTGCAGGTACATATTATAACTGAGTCTTGGGAGATTTATCATGGTAATTTCATGAAGGAAAAAATAAAAATATAGTCTAATTTTATTTTAAAAACTGAGACAACTGTCCAACAAGTGAAAATTTCAAGAAATTCCCTGATTAATTGGCCGCCATGTTGCCCAACCTCTCAGCTCCCGATGACTTCCTGTGGGGATATCTGAAGGAGCAGGTGTACATGAGTAGACCGCGTACAGTTGAGCATCTCAAGGAGAATATCTGTGCAGAAATTCAAGTGCTAGAGCCTCAAACATTAACTAATGCTATAAACAATGCAATTGAAAGAGCCTGATGTTACGAGGTGGCAAATGGAGCTAATTTAAAAGATGTCATCTTCTGTACCTAATCAAACATACACGTTAAGCATTCATTATATGCAGTATAACTGAAATTGGTTTATTAATTAAAAAAAGGTAATTGACTTCAAATTCTACTCTGAATTATATATACATACATTATATATATATATATATATATATATATATATATATATATATATATATATATACACACACACACACACACACACACACACACACACACACACTTGGATTTATAACAGATTATTTTGTATTTACTTGTTGCTCTATATAAAACAAAGTCCCATGAACTAACTGTCAACAGTCATCAGTATACAAACATTTATATACTCAAGCAGAGATTTTTAAAAATAAGAGTTTTTTTTTTTTGTTTTTTTTTTTACAGTTTCCAGTAATCTGCAACCTATAAACAGGTCACTGTTAACAAATCCATTGTCTATATGAGGGCCACCCCTCTTCATTTTACAGTACCGCTGTAACCTCACTCACACATCACCCTCCACCCCATGTTATTGGCCCTCTTACATTTTAATGGACACCTCTTGTAAAACCCAGCCTGCTCTGCGTGGATGTCAGAAACCTTAAGCTCTTTCCTATAAAATCCTGGAGTCATCCTCTAGTTAACCCTTATATGCCACTGACCTTTGGACATATACATCAATTATTACCAGTTATCCATAAACATGGTCTGCTCGCATTCTAAAGATACACAGAGACACATAGTCCATCTAGACCAGCTGTGATTCCTATGCTGCTGTCTGTACATTGTAAAGCAATTTGTTGAGTATGTTTTACTGGTTCCAACTCTCAAAGAAACTACAGTATTTGGGAACCAACATTGGATGCAACAGTTTGTTCAAGCAAGGGTAGGGTGCCAGAGAAATAGATATGCACTGAAAACTATAACTATCCTAAAATGTTGCTATTTATAGAACAAAAATACAGCTGAACGAATGGTTTTCACTTTGACGAATATGTACATAAAGTACATTTCTATGTATTTTTTAATTAAGCCATCAAAAACAATACAAACAAAGCACAACTGTGTCAATGTTTCTACGAATGACCTGTTACTATCTCTTTAATTCCATAAAGTGCCCTGCGTACTCAGAGGTGTCACCTATCTTTCCTATGCGAGGGAAGCACAGCGCAACATTAGGCTTCCCTTGTTAACCACACAGACTCTCATTATAAGTTCCGTCTCTAAAGAAATTGAGAGGAATGATTACATCACTGTGTGGGTTTGGAGACCACAAGAAAAAAAAAAAAAAAGAAATCACACACTTTTAAGTTTAGCTTTGGTAATAATTAATCTTTCATTTAAAAAGAAAAATGAATTTAGTTGTCAGGAACAAACCTGTACTGCAGCGCTACGGAATCCGTTGGCGCTATATAAATGGCAATAATAATAATAATAATAATAATAAATTGCGACCTTCCATCTGTTAGTGAGCCATAATCTCCACTATCCTCAGATGTGTTAAAGAGATTGTGGATGATTAAAAGTTTTAGTCACATATAACGTTGGAAAATAGCAATCTTACTTTAAAGAATACTTTTGAAATATTTCAAAATCCACTTGTAAAATTGGACTATAGTAAGTGTGTTTTTCCAAGCATAAAGACTGCTAAGATAAGACACCTACTAGTTAGACTATTAAAAAGAAAAAAAAATTCCTACGGAAGGCATTCTTCTGCAGCAAATCTCAGTGTTGATGTCATCACCATGGATGTGACTAGACTATCCAAGTCTATACCCAAACCAAGGCTGGCGCTACCCGTTAGGCGGACTAGGCAGCCGCTAAGGGCGTACCTTAGGAAGGGGCGCCGCCAGGAGCGCCGGCCCCCCTCATGCTGCAGCCGCCCGAGCTCTCTGTAGAGATACAGAGCTCGGCCACGCTACAACAGAGGTAGGGGAGGGGGGAGAAAGAAATTGACATGGAGGGGAATTGAAGGGGGAGAGAAAGAAATTGACAGGGAGGTGAGAGTGACAGGGGAGGGAGGGGGAATGAGTGTGGGGATGGAAGGAGAGAGTGACAAGGGAGGGGGAGGCAAGAGGGACAAGGAGAGGGAGAAGAGGAGGGACAAGGGAGAGGGAGAAGAGAGGGACAAGGAGAGGGAGAAGAGAGGGACAAGGAGAGGGAGAAGAGAGGGACAAGGGAGGGGAGAAGAGAGGGACAAGGAGAGGGGAGAAGAGAGGGACAAGGAGAGGGGAGAAGAGGAGGGACAAGGCGGGAGGGAGAAGAGAGGACAAGTGGGAGGGGGGAGAAGAGAGGGACAAGGAGGGGGAGAAGAGAGGGACAAGGGAGGGGGAGAAGAGAGGGACAAGGGAGGGGGAGAAGAGAGGGACAAGGGAGGGAAAGGGGGGAGAAGAGAGTGACAAGGGAGGGAAAGGGGGGAGAAGAGAGTGACAAGGGAGGGGGGAGAGATTGACATCCATCACACAATCACACACAATGCACCCCTTACACACAAAGACAATGCACCCCTTGCACACAGAAAAACACACAATGCATTACACACACAGACACGCAAGCAATGCAACCCTTATACACAATGCATTCCTTACACACACAGAAACACACAATGCATTCCTTACACACACTCAATGCACCCCTTCCAGACGCACACACTGCATCCCGTACATACACAGAAACACACCTTGCAGCCCTTACACATACAAACACAGATTCACACAATGCATTCCTTACACACATATCAGGACATCCCCTACACACTCCACCCCCTGTGAACAAACTCATTGGTGGAACCAGGACATACTTGAAAACGAGAGAAATCTCAATGTATCTTTCCTGGTAAAATATTTTATTTATAAATAAATAAATAAATAAATAAATAAATAACATGAAGGTGGACCCTGGGACCCAGACCTTGATCTGTGTAAAGGGCCCCCAAAAAATTGAGCTGCTTCCCGTTCTCCCAGAACATTCTTTGTTGATTTTTGTGGCCACAGTTACAAACCACCTCCAGAGAGCCTGTTCTACACCAGACCAGTGGAGCCAGACTGCAGCTAGAGCCCATCATCATCCTCATCTGGTTGTAAGTAGGCAATCTAGCATATTATTCGTGGCACTAAGCTCTAATTTACCTCACATTAACCCCTTAAGGACACAACTTCTGGAATAAAAGGGAATCATGACGGAATATTTCCATCATGTGTCCTTAAGGGGTTAAAGAAACACTATAGTCCCCAGAACCACTGCAGCTTAATGTAGTGGTTCTGTTGTCTGTAGCCTGTCCCTGCAGGCCTTTTAATGTAAACACGGAGGCACTGGCATTAGTTAACAAGGCAGATCATATGGGTGGGGCATTGTGATGTCACATGGGGGGCGGCAAACTTTACTTTTGCCTAGGGCGGCAAAAATCCTTGCACCGGCCCTGACCCAAACTCCCATTTACTTAAATGTAAAAAAATGAAATAATGAACAAGATGATAAATGCATGCAAAGTGCAAGTGGTTCTTGTTCTATTTTTTTTCTCACTTGAAGTACAACTGGTTTCTTTCTCAGGTCATGCATTGTTGCAGGACTGCAAGCGTTAATGAGGTTCTGTCCAGAATGATTGTGCCATTTTTAATATCGCCAAATTAAAAAACAAACAAAACAGACAGAGCCGCACCTTTTGTGTCATCCTCCTTTGTGTGAGTCACAGAAATGGGAGCAAGAATATACATTTATTGTGCTGTGTCCAAGTGCTGGCACTAATACACAGAATCAGTTATCTAAGGAAAGGGAACCCAAGCCCCCTAACTCTTATACCTGCTGTGGAACATGCACATAATATTAGCAGAAGATACATGTATCCAACAATTCCCATATGTGGGATGAGAGAATGCAGGAGATAGGGCACTGTTACTGAAGTAGTATGATAAGGAGCCACAGGGTACTCTTGCTGAAGTGGTATGATTAGGAGCCACAGGGCACTCTTGCCGAAGTGGTATGATTAGGAGCCACAGGGCACTCTTGCCGAAGTGGTATGATTAGGAGCCACAGGGCACTCTTGCCGAAGTGGTATGATTAGGAGCCACAGGGCACTCTTGCCGAAGTAGTATGATTAGGAGCTATAGGGCACTCTTGCTGAAGTAGTATGATTAGGAGCCACAGGGCACTCTTGCTGAAGTGGTATAATTAGGCGCTATAGGGGACTCTTGCTGAAGTAGTATGATTAGGCGCTATAGGACACTCTTGCTGAAGTGGTATGATTAGGAGCCACAGGGCACTCTTGCCGAAGTAGTATGATTAGGAGCTATAGGGCACTCTTGGCTGAAGTAGTATGATTAGGAGCTATAGGGCACTCTTGCTGAAGTAGTATGATTAGGCGCTATAGGACACTGTTACTGAAGTGGTATGATTAAGCGCTATAGGACACTGTTACTGAAGTGGTATGATTAGGAGCCATAGGGCACTCTTGCTGAAGAAGTATGATTAGGAGCCATAGGGCACTCTTGCTGAAGAAGTATGATTAGGAGCCATAGGGCACTCTTGCTGAAGTGGTATGATTAGAAGCTATAGGGCACTCTTGCTAAAGCTGTATAAAGATGAGCTACAGGGCACTCTTAACAAGCCATTACAGGGAGGAACTATAGGGCAATGTTACTGAAGTAATGGGGGTTACGACAAAACAAAATACAGGGAAAGGGTTTTCATAGAAGCTGGTCAGCTACAATATAGAACTAGGACATATGTTATGGGACGAGGTTAGGGCCAAATTGTGATGTTAGTCTTCCAATAGATGTGGCCAAGGGCCATATTTAACAAAATCCTGGAAAGAGTGTAAAGTTAACCGAGGTAGTGAATGTGCTTGATTTCAATCTGCTGTGAAAAATAAATTTGTTCTTTTAAATAGGAGTGAGGGTCTCTGTTCAAACGGTTTTGTTATACACACAATAATCAGGTAGTGTTTTGGTCTAGGCACCTAGCGCTGTGCCCTTCCACACCCTCCTCACGTATCACGTACACATGAGTGTTGGAACCAGGTGTTGGGGTGATGAAAAAAAAATCTCCCCAGAAAATTTGGGGTAGCATTTAATATTATAATGGGACTGGGATTATTATGAAAAGCTGCCCCCCCAACCCGGATTTTGGGGGGTTTCTACACCAATACATTTACAATTCCAAAACTTTAGAGATAAGTAACAGGGATCTTTCTTAATCATTCCCCAAGATATTAATGGTCTACAACTCTTAGAATTCAATTAAAAAGCAAAAGATGGCAAGAGAATCATGGGAGTTCTAGTCCAGTAACACCTGGGAGTTGGAGTCTGAGGTGCCGGTTTGATAGTCAACAGCCATCACCTACTTACAGCCTTTCTGTGATTTAAACACAAGAAAATTCTGGCTATGCATTTTCAGAATCAAATGGTAGATAAATCAAATCATTCTAATAAAGTAAAACCATGGCACTACAGAAGGCTTATAAAAAGCAACAATGTGGCCTGACAGTGGGGGGTCTACATTTAAGGAGTGGTGGCGAAAGGACAATTGATCAGCAAAACTTAAGTTGAGATCATTGAGAATAAGAAAGAAAAAAACTCCGAAATATGCCTGCCAATGTTTTTTTATTTTTCTCATTATGATACCATCAGACAATAGAACAATATGAGTGGACTGCCATTCCTTAATTTGCGTAACAAAATGTTCAGGATCTATATTGATTTACAAAATCCATTAAATCCTGGGAAGGGTGACATAAAAATAAATTAACTTTTTCCTCTTATCTGCCCACCACGTTTTCCTGTAGTGTTTTAGATAGGGGGAGGAGGGCCAGAGCAGGAAAGCGTAGAGGGCAGATAACAGAAGGATTAAAAAATAATAATAATAATAATAATAATAAACCATTAAATATATCAGAATATTTAAAATTCTACAGTGTATAAATAAAGCTGATTTCACATCACAGAGATGATTGACACATACAGATATATACAGTATAACTAAATTCACAGTTCTTATCTTACCAGACGCTTAGGCTACATCCATATCAAGTCACTATAATGTTCCTTGGATAGTGTGGTATGACACTATTTATATTTAGAGTATTAAGAATTTCTTGTTCTGTAGATGCCTCGTATCTGAATACGGAGTGTTTCATTGAAACCCAAGCTCACTCCTGAGATTTTAGAGGTTGGATAGAAACCAAACAACTGTCACCCCAGATTTGCACTAATTGAACCGGGTTTTAACAATGGACTCCAATATAGCACCATGGAAAATGAGGCACCGGGTGAAAAGTATTATTTGCCATGATTATGGTTTTAATCTTAAATCCGAACTGCACCATCAGTTTAGTTACAACGTACGGCCTAATAAACCTGCACACTGACTCAATCCAGGAAGGGATATCAACAGGTAGGAGGCATTCACAAAAGGAGTGGAAAACCTGCATATAGAGAAACTTAAAAAGTATTCAAGTTCTTAACAGTCTTGTGCATCAAGAGTGCACAAAAAACCTTTAGGGGTCAGTCACTAAACTGTGGTAAATTAAAGTAAGGGTTGTAAAAAGTAGGTAAACTTCAGAAAAGAAGGCAAAAATATATATTTTTATAAATCACAACTTGACTACTTTAGCCTTAAAATCTGCCAGATTGCGGTTTGATACAAGTTCAAAATTTAGTGAAGATATATATATATATATATATATATATATATATATATATATATATATATATATATATGCGCTCGCTCTCTCTCTCTCTCTCCCCCCTTTCATACATCTGAAACCCCCAGAAATAGTAATGAAACAGTGATTTTGACCCACTGTTTTGTTTTCTCCATAGTATATAAATTTATGTCAGTCTTTCAAAAGTTGCTAAACAAATACAGTCAATACAAAACACACTTACTGAGGGTGTCTAGAGCCTATGGATTAGAGTTTTACCTGAGGCTGCATTATGTTTTGTCAAGGAATGTCAGTCCAGAGGCAAAAAAAAAAAACCCGAACATATTGAGGGGAATGTCTTGTTTACATAGACACAGAGGTGTTAATAATACCCAGTCACACAGAAAGAGCATTAGAGTAAAAGATGTTGCTGCTCAAACAAGAAAGAAAATCCAAGAAAGAAAGTGGCATAAATGTGTTTAACCCTTTCATTGCCAGCTGTATTAATTACTTATCTTGGATTGTAACTCGATTTATTGGCATAGCACAGGTATCACAGTAAAATGTATTTAAATGAATCAGTATCTGATTGGACAATGATGCAGATTACCAGGGACATTCTTTATTATTATTACTATTTTTACCTTTTCAATAGTTTGAAATATATAGTCACCCATTAAATGTTTAATAGAAAAAAAGATTTTTTTTTGTATCTTAAAGACTGTCTTTTATAATTAATGCAGCACTAAAGGGGTTAAACCACAGTGTGGTCCCATAATATTTTCAGTATTGAGGTCAAGAATCCTGACACCATATAATCTAGGATAGGGAAACGACTGATAATTATTTTTATTTTTAATGAAGAGGGGTGTACGTTTGCAGTGGTAGTGAATTGATTAGGATTTAATGAGAGGGAGTTACACAAGAGAGGTTCACTAAGTAAGGTGACCTGACATACCTAAGATCAGCAGCATGATATCCCCTGCAGAAGAAAGCAGCATGTTCCTGTCTCCCAGCTGCTGTTTCTCAATGGCCAGTTGTAAAGGCGACGACAGCCAAGTCCCAGAGGCTGGTAGGTGACAGTGTGACCCTTTTGGTGTTACCGATGTGACTCTCCAGGCGGAAATTGGGCTGACTCACCTTCTTCCCACAGAGTTACCGTGACAGTCTATTCAGTCATTGAATTTAAAGGCACAGGCAACCTTTTTCATGGGACAGTCAGTCCAAAGCAAGAATCACAATATAATTCAAACTCTGTGTGCACTCAAATGTAGTTCATTCATGTACATCATAGGAAGTGCATTATCAGAAATATTAGCCGAATCTTCCTTTGTGTATCTATGACTTCTTAAAATAAATAGTGCAATATACACACCATCCTAAAACAAATATTCATGGGAAGGGTAATCCTGTTTAGAATCAGTCACAATGACAGTCAGGATGGAATGTTTAAAAGCAGTCTGGAAGAGTGGACTGGGCAAAGTTCCTTATACGGGGACCAATTCTGTGTGTCCTAAAAACTCCCAACTCTTTCAAGTCAGGCAGTCCGCGAGTTTCATTCCTCCTTTCAATGGTCTGGTGGATTTTTTCTGAGTAACTTATCCTTTTTCCTCTTTCGATGTCTCCGGATCTAGGAACCTCCTTTCATGGGCTGGTTTCTCCGGTCAGCTGGAGCTCTGGGCTGTAGGTGAGCTCTCCCTCCTCTGTGCTGGAGCTCTGGGCTATAGGTGAGCTCTGGGCTGTAGGTGAGCTCTGTCTTTCCTGGAGCTCTGTGCTGTGGGTGAGCTCTGTCTCTCCTGGAGCTCTGTGCTGTAGGTGAGCTCTGTCTCTCCTGGAGCTCTGTGCTGTAGGTGAGCTCTGTCTCTCCTGTGCTGGAGCTCTGGGCTGTTCCTCTGCTTGTCTGTAGGTGAGTGTTAAAGTTTCCCTGTGATCTACAGAGCCGATCCCTTAGCCCCGCCCATTTCCTAGGCACACGCTTTTGATCCCTTGATGTGAGCTCTGTTATGATTTAGTGTCAGAGAGCATACCACAGCCATACAGGCAGTATTGTGGATTTGGAGCGTGTTTACACACCTTGTACACCGTGCTGGCCAAGAGCTCCATGTGGAGGGGGGATGTACATCAGTTAAACTCACAGTTTGGGGGTAGATGTAAAAAAGGTTTATTTAAAGAACACACCAAGCACATCGTGGTTATAGTGCACATGGTGGCTATGGTGCTTGGAATGTTCCTTTAATAATTCATCTGCAAATGCATAATACACAGAATTATATATATACACAAACACACAAGTATCTATTTTGTATTTAATATTTTTAAAATCATTTTTAATATATATATTTGTTTAATATTTACACCACTGTTCGAGAATAGTGATACATAAAATTAATTTGTAGATTATCATTTTGCTTCAGAGTGGTAGAGAATGTATAGCTACTATCCTCTCACTTACCTAACCCAGCACTATTAAGGATGAATTTTAAACACTTCTGCAAAATCAGGTAAAAATGTCACTTTGCGTTAAAAAGTATGCTGTATAATTATTGCACCATTTATAATCTCTAACATCATTACGGCACCATTATAGCTATAATATGATGCATAGTACAGCAATGTACCCCATCCTATACATTTTGGGGATTTAGGGATAGGAAGTGTTTATGGTTAGGTGGTTTATGGTTAAGAGAGGCATAGGATTAGAGGGCACCTGTTTTCAGGGTGCTGTGGACTACTAACTCATATAACTCCCAGTCAGGCCTTGCCTGGCTAGGACTCATGGGAGTTACAGTTCATGGCATTTAGAAGGCAGATATCCTGAAGCCCCCTATCCTTAAAGGGTTATTCTAACTTTTTCTTTCCCATTTATTATTTAAAAATTTATAATGCCCTACTGGTCATTATATACTTTGTCATCTCCTTCTAAACAAATAAACGATTAAATTTACCTGGATTCCAGCACCACAATCCTCGCCCCAACTGACATCAGTGGTGACAGGTCATAGTCCAATCATATACTTCTCACGCAATGCAAGGTGGCGGGAGGGACTGCTCGGAAGGACAGAAAGAAGCACAAGCCTCCACTTGCAGGCACGGTCTGGGCCTGCAAGTGAGAGGATGACCATGTCTGTCGTATGCGCGCTGGTGACAGGCGTAAATTTAGCACAGAATTGACATTTGTAAGTCCAGAGTTCTGGGCAGCGATTGTCACGTGTGCTGGGGATGTAACTAGCCCCACAGCACAAAAGTGCGATATCTCAGTATGTGCAGGGTTTCAAGCAGAAACGCCACACATACTGACTTCTACTACCACGACCACTTCAAAAAGAAAAGCTGGTCATGATGGTTGGAGTAACCCTTTAAGTTCTCCTAGCAGGGGTTTGCTGGCAAATTCTGGCTGGGGGACAAGTACAACAAATGGGCTTTTTGCATTCTCACAAAACTCACATACCTCAGTGTGGATTTCCCTACTCGTGTGGAGCATGCAATATATAAATCTGACAAAAGGAGGCCTCTGTAGTTACGAGCTGTGACATCATAAGAGTAACATCAGAGGTCTGTGTATGCAATGCAAACTTTGTCTCCAATACCACCAACGGCTGTGTTCTATGAACTGTTTCATCTCACTCTGCCGTCATTTGTAAACACCTCCAGCGACACTATACATAATATTATAGTCTGTCAGCCCAGTGAGAAACTGCAGACCACCTAATATCCTGGGGGTAATTCCAAGCCTGGAGAGCACTGAGGTGTCAGGCTGGCAGTTATGCACTAACCCATGCAGTGCTGAGCTAGCATGGGTCGCAAATCTTGCCTGCTGCCTGAATTCTGCTGTACTGTGCCACAAGCCACCCCAACATACCTCCCCTGTTTTAATCAGAATAGTGTAAGGCTGCAGCCCAAACCCTTGTGTGCTAGAGATCCAGGGCACAATTGCCCCCCTATTTCCCCTAACACCTCAAAACAATAAGCCCCCCACTATTCCTTAGCCTAAGCCCCTATAAACACAAGATCTTAAACCTCTTCCAATTATGATTATTTTCGCATTTACATAGCAACAACCTCTTTCGCAGCATTTACAATATTATAAAAATCTAGAAATTTAACAATAAATGAGACAATTACAAAATGTTACAGGAACAATGGGTTGATAAGGATCCTGCTCAAACAAGCTTATACTACCAAAACACTACCTGAACCCTAACCCCCCCAAAACTAACCTTACTTTAGAAAAGCACTTTAAAAAAAAATGCATTTAAATGGCACCCCTCAATTATGACCACAACATCACAATATCACCGTAATAACCAGAAACATTCCAAATGCAACATTTTACACATATATACACTATAGATAGACAGTTACGGCATCTGTATTATCTCTGAGAATATATTTCACACCACTCACTTTTTCCATATTGGTTGCAGTCTCATTTCTTCTAGACTAGAGTACCATCTCAAACGTCATCTATCTTTTTCCCTTGAGAGGGGTTTTCATCACTAGCTGTCCAGGCAGAAGGAAGAAGAGCCCACACTGTTATATAAACTATTATATTGTTATAAACTAATGGATTTGCCAGATACCTTGTTCTCCTGCACACATATGACTAACGGTATATATTGCTGCAATACAGAGGGACCCCAAAGGGACTGGGCTACATACAGCAGTGCTGCAGTTTTTATGTGTTTCCCACCAGCAACATGAGTGTCTCAACATTTGTAGTTTATGATTAAATATTCTGTTTTCTACTCTTTATTTATTGATATCAGTGGTTAAGAAGGACTCATGATGGTTAATGCTGTTTTAACATTCTGTTGTTTAAAGGAACACTAAAGGGTCAGAAATACAAAGATGTATTCCTGATCCTATAGTGTTTAAAACACTATTAAGGTGGCTGCCCTCCCCCCCCCACCCCCCCCAGCTTCTTTTAAATTGGGTAAAAACCCACCTTCATTCCAATGAATTTATTCACATCTCAACAAATCCAATGCTTTATAGATAGTCAAGTCTGATGATCTCCATCAAGGACAAGGACAGGGGGTGGGGATGGAGCAAATGCAGCACTGGCTAATCTCTACCTCCTCGTAAGGATGCATCGAATCAATGCATGTTCAGCGTCTCCATGCAGATTGTGGAGATGTCAAATGTCAGTACGCAGCACTGACCCTGGAAGCAGCTTTAGTGGCCTTCTGAGTGACTGTCACTGGAGGTGTTCCTAGGGAGCAATGTAAGCACAGCCTTTTCACAGAAAAGGGGATATTTACATAAAAAAAATCCTGCAAGGGCAGACTATACTCAACAGAACAACTACATTAAGCTGTAGCTGTTCTGATGACTATAGTGTCCCTTTAATGTTCTTGAAATATTATTCCTGGATCTAGTGCAGGGCTATACAATGCTACCAATGCTAAATAAGCAGGATATTCCACATTGACACAATGTCTAGAGATCAGATTGCGATGTCGGCAAACATTGCCATGTGGTCCTTAAGAGGTTAATTGGCAAAATAATGCCTCAACTGTTCAAGTCAGTTCATTAATTTGGCTGTTGGTAAATAGAGTGGGAAACTGTTTGATATTAACCTGCCAAATGCTGGCAATATGATAGAGGTGATTTTGTTGCCAAGATTTTAGACTAAAGTTTAAACAGGCCTGCTGCTCCTTAAGGAAAACTATATTTTGATTTCCTGTTTTCTGATTAATCTAATCCAATAACATGTTCCAGATCAAGATATTTAACAGAATGTTATAACATATATTTAACATTCTATATTATGTTAGATAGGTTTTAGGAGTGCCGTCTTTCATAATATGCTTTCATTGCTCTATTGATGTGAAATCAATGTAAAGCAGAACAGTCAAAGATAAGGTTTTGTTTTTTGCATAACCCTAAAGTGAGCTATTTGTTTAATAAAATGGAACAGAATGGAAGGAGTGCACTAGACTTCACTTCCCTACCTTCGTCGTATAACTGTAAACATAGCAGATACACAGAGTACAGCTTTGGCTAACCTCCTGCTTATATACCATATGTATTACCATTTGTATATGTATAGTATAGAAGGGGAGACGTAATGTCTTCATCTGTTACTTAGGTTTGTGTTCTCATCTTTAATACTTTAATGGAACATATAAGTAATGAATTATTAAAGGCTAGAATAATATGCATTGCAACATGCATGGTATGAACAAGACGGGGGTTTTAAAATGATTTTAAAATATCAAAAAATATATCATATATATTTCAATATAAATATATTAAACATATAAGCATATTAAAATATTTTTTGAAATATTCAATCATTTTAAAAGTTTATAAAAAAAATATTAAATTATTTGAAAAACATATCCAAAAATATTAAATCGAGGCCTAAAGCCTCAATTTAATGTTGTTGGATAAGCCTTCTATATATTATTATATTTTTGGATACACTTCTAACAATATATTAACATATAAAAAATATTAAAATATCACAAAATGTAAATATTTTTTGCAATATTATGTAATTTTAAAGTTAACCCAAACATATTAAATCATTTGAAAAGCCTTTTTAACCATATTAAATCATGGCATAAATTGGTGGTGAAGTTATAAACTTGTTATTAATTAATCATTATTACTATATTGACGGATGGAGTTTAGAATCTATGCAAGACTTTCTAATTCCCTCTGCAAGTGTAACATTTATTTATTTATTGGTATTTATGAGAAAAGACCTGTGGGGTCTAAACGTTATTTTCTCTAAAATTAAATTTAAATTTAATTTTAATTAATTTAAAATGACTAGTTATGAAAATATTTTGCTACCTTCCATTTACATAGCGCTACTTGCTATAAGATTTATTTCTTTTTCTGGAAAATATATTTTCAGCCAACTCTGCTTTTTAAAAACCCCAAA